GCCCTTGATCAAGTGTGCTCTAAAAGCAAAATTTAATTAAATTAAATACCAAATTATCTATTGCAAAAGAAACTTATTCCTCTCTTTACATCTCCCAATAAGATTGTATTTATTTTTAATTTCTTCACATTGCAGAGCATTCCCCATTCGCATATTCAACTTTCTGTCCACTCTTTGTCTTGGCATAATTTACCTTTCCCCCTCTTTTGCACACCCCACCACACCCCCTCATTGTTTGTTCTTTCACATGTTCACATGACGGGGGGAACACATGAGAAAGAACAGATCTGCTGACCATGCAAAACATTTTGGAATGGGTCATGGGTGGGAGAACTCAAACCCATCGCTCATCGGCGGGAATTGGGCAGACTGGCCAGAGCAGACTGGGGCAATATTTAGTTCCTACCTTTATTCAACGGCTTCGGGTTTGATTGTTTGCGTCGTGACATTGTATGCGTACGGCGGCGGGGGGTCCAACGGCGGGCGTGCGGAGCGTTGCGACCTACGTCTGCATCAGATCCGTTTCGTTTGCCTTTTCCGTGGACATTTACCGGCGGTCAGCGGTCGGTTGTCGGCGATTGGCGATCGGATGTACACACCGGAACACACACGCACACACTCACAGAGGCGAGAGGAAAAAATTCACACACTTGTTGGGCTCGGGGGCACGGGCACTCGCAAGTATCAATAATTTATAATGATTGCGATTATTTCTATAGCTACGAGCGATTAATAAGCTCTAATGAATTTTTAACGATCGACGCGTTTAGCGGGCGACAAAAAACGCGCGGCTCGCGCACAGATCGCGTAACGTAACGCAAGGGAATGGAAAGGGAATGTAATGGAATTCGGCAAGATCGTAACGGAACACGAAACGCAAATATCAACACCCAACAACTTATTGTGAATGATGCTCGGGGTTTTTACAGTAGTTTTGCAATTGTTGCGCTGCTTGTCGCGTGTTTTGCCAGTGCCTGGTCGGTGGGGGCGTGGCTTGTGGGCTTTTCAACGTCCGAACAGTGCAAGCTCCCAACTAAAACTGTAAGCAGGTTGGCGTCGCCAAATGCGTTGGGGCTTCGCTCCAAAATCAACGAAAGCTCGCACAAAGCAGAAAAACCGGTGGCCACAGACAGCGCGCGTCAGTGAGAGAGAGAGAGAGAGAGAGGAGAGCCATGCAAGAGAGCAACCGATTGCGCGCGCATTTGTCTCTCCCGCTCGAATTTCCATTTTGTTTTTACTTTATTTTTCATTGCCTCGCATGCTTTGCCGTCTGCTTCGTGGCGTGATAAGAATCAAAACAAAAACGCCGAAACATTTACGCACGTTTTCCCCCGGGAAGGAAGGCACCGCACCGGACTACACACCGCTCACCGTCTCGCTCGCACGCCAGGCAACCCGACTGTGTTGCAATGTACTGTTGTTTTGGTCACAATTAACAGCTGCCGGCAGGCCGGAAAGAAACGATTGAGGCACTTTTGTTGTTCGTTGACAATTTGTTTAATGTTTTTTTTTACCGAAAAATGTGTTAGCCCCGCTTTGCTTTGTTTGCGGCCCGAACTTTTCTTCAACAGCTGTTTTTTTCACTTTTTGATTGTCAAACACTCAAATTAGTTAGAACTTATACTGGATCCACGCTCTGACTTTATATCTGTTCACTTTCTACACCTTTTAATTGCTTAACTTCTTTTTAATTGGGTCATTTTCAGCTTTTCTTGCTGCACATTACTTTTTGGCTCCAACCGCTGCTGGCTTAGCACTAACGCTTAAATGAGCATTTAACAAGTTGGCAGCTCGCTGAGACAGCTGGCACTGGTGAGCCAAAAAGAAAGCATACTTTTGGGCTGCCGTATAGAGGGCGCTAGTCAATGGGCGCCTGAATTCAAATTGCAATGCTATTTGCTCCACCAAAATGTTTCTTTAACAGACATTAGTATGAGCGCACTCTCACATTTATTTATTGTATATAAATAATAAGTATTTTTGCTCTTACGCTGACAGAATTCCATTTCCTGTCTAACCATTATGTTAGCTGCACTTCCGCGCATTTTTCGGGTTTCTCTCCCTGTCCAATTTTTTCTGTCGCTTTTACCTTTTTGTCTTTGTAATTTGCACCTATTGCTCGCCCGAACGTACACATTTTAATGGCACTTGCAACTTTTTTATACCGACTGCTTTGCATTGGACGCTCATAGATTTTAAAAATTGCGACAGCAACGGAAATGAAACGCTTCCTGTTGGCCGCTTCGAAAGTCCTGCCAAAGGACTGGGTGGGGATGTGCTATGCAAATGGGATGCATGGGCCATAAATATTGGCAGAGAAAAACCAGCAAAAACCAGTTAGCGGAGCTAGCATAATCCGCGCTAACATATGGCCAAATCGATTAGCCTTCCCCGCCCCCCTTTGGGTTCATTTGTGGTCTGTCCCTGCCCGTGTCCTCAACGTTTCGTTAATCGCTAATGAAGTATACGCACCGTTGACCTTCGCTGCGTTCGTTAAACCCCCACACTCGATGCCGTATGCCTTCTGCCTTCTGCCTGTCGTTTTTTTTTTTCGGCAATCCCTGATCATCGCTCTCTGTGCCGCTGAATGCATTTTCGGCAATCGCCCAACAAACCTATAAATAAAAGAATCACTGAAAACAGGTTAAAACCAACACACAAAAAGCAACACAGCAAGGTTATTCATGCGATTGCCTTGGGCGTAGTTTCTCGATTAATACCCTCGCAAAAAAAAAATCATTGTTCCTATGGTGGGTACGGGATTTAGTCAAGAAATGACCAGAAAATTCAGTTTTTTCTAGTGTTAATTGAAATTTTCTCACAAAGTTATGATTTGGTATCAAAGTTTCCTATGGCAGCTATATGTTCTAGTGCTCCGATTTTAATCAAATCTTTGTGAGACACGTAAAAACATATTCAAATACAAGTGTGTCAGTTTGCACGCATTATCTTTACAAACAAAAAAGTTTTACCCACAAAAAATGGTTTTTTGTTGCATAGTTTGTATGGCGGCCATATGATATAGTCATCCGATTATGACCATTTTTGGCTGAGTTATGTTAAGGCATATGCAAACAAGTTGTACAACGTTTGATTGCTTTAGCTGCACAAACAAGATAGTTTTTCATACAAAAACTCAGTTTTCAAACGATCTTTCCTATGACAGCTATGGGATATAGTAAAGCGAAATAGCTGATTTTAACTTAGAGAGTAAAAACAGTCAAAAGAAGGCTCTGAGGCAAGTTTAAGCCTGCTATCTTTTAAATTGAGTGAAAGATCTGCATAGAAAGTGGTATTAAGATATGCAGGATGCTTTCAAGGGTCGCAAATGGCATAAAGATGATTGAAAATTGAACTAAGAGCAGTTGCAGTAAACTCTCATTAGCCCCGAAACAATAAATAAATACCATACAAATGTTTCAAGCATTCCCATATTCCCCAACGATCCCCAAAATTGCACATTTCACACGCTTAACACCAAGATCCCACACCCTACTGCTGCGTGGGTCATAACCCACTCTAGATACTCGCGTGTTTCATTGACTTTAGAAAACAAAAGCTGCCCAAAATAAAGATAAATATCTGTAGCTGTAGCTGTAGCTGTGTAGCTGTCTGTGTATCTGTGTGTGACCGAATCGGCCTCCCTCTGTAATCATAGTGCATTACACTCCACGCTGGAGGCAAGGCGAAACGAGGCAATAACAAAAACAGGACGGGGAGTGGGTGCTGTCGGGGGGTAAGCAGCAACTTCCAGGTCAAGCAACTGCTCGCCGGCAAGGCCATGCCCGTGACTCGAAATGGAAATGGAAATGACAGACGTCGCTGCAAAAAAAACACACACTCGAAAAAGTTGAACCGAATATTTTGAGGGATTTTTTTTCGGCGGGTGGCAGCGCCGCATATCATTGACCCAAGGTGCAGTTACCTTGCGGTGCGCTGGGTGCAATGATCCACTTGGCATACACATGGCATCCACACGATCCACTGTGCTTGCGTGACTGCAGCCCTGGCGTGGCGACCTTTTATGTGTGTACGCGCGGGAGAGAGACTCTCTTCTGAAGGTTAACTCTCTTCTGGATGATGCGTTGGGAGTGCAGAGATTCCATAAAATTTTATTGTTTGTTGGCAAAGTGTTGCTGTGTTTGTGTGTACGTACGAAATAGAGAGGGTACAGTATGGGGACCATTGGGAGCAGGAGTTCCAAGAAGGAAGCCACTCCGAGCCGCAGCTTCAAATCCACCGACAAGCCATACCCTCCACAGCTTGGGTTCCACATTTCAGCATACCTTTCTCCCATCCACACACATATGCACTCACACAGACAGCTGATCTCAGATGCTTTTGTTTTTAAGGTGTCGCCTCCTTGCATAAATTAAAACAGCTGATGAAATTCGCCAAGTCCGGCGCATAAGCAGCGGCAGAAAAGCCGATAAAATTATTCATTTATTTTTAACAAAAACAAATTTCTTTGTTTCTGGCTGCGAGCCTGCACTTGCCCACAAGCATCTCTTGTGCCGTTATGGCAAACAACGTTGGACGCCGGCGCTGACGCAGGCAGAGTGCCACCGCCCACAAAAATCAAAGTCGCTGCCTGTCTGCGCTGCAGTTGATCAAAGTCCATGCTGTTCATGCACCCGCCTGCAACACCAATGATCCATCGGTCCATTTGTGTATTTATAGCAGCAATAGCTGGCCGCTCTCTTTCTTAGCATCATCTCCCCCGCACTCTTTCTTGACCGCTCCCCCTCGCCATCTCTCACCTCTCTGTTTAGCCCCCTGCTAATTGGTACTTGGGCTTTTTTTGGCTCTTGGGGGCCGCTGCCGTCGCCATTGCGGTAGGTTCGTCCCAATGCGGCGAACACGTAATGACGAGTGACCCTGGGTAAACAGAGAGCATACAGTGGAGGTTCTCTCTCAACAAACATAAATGTTGCAGTTGCCTTGTCTTATATTTACATGCATTTTGGGTTAATTTTTTAACTAACAAAAAAAAACACAGATGCGGTCTCAAACATGTCTTAAAATGTAAAATTATACAGAGAATTTCCCTTGGTTCAGGGCAAACTTTCAATCCTCATTCAGCGCCATGCTCAGATCTGAGCAGTGGCTTGGCCTTGTGCCCAATCCAGTCTGCATTCTGGCTCTATGGCTTCCGCTGCTTCTCATGCAGCTCTCATTCTTAATCAATGACTTCTCCTTGTTCCCATTCACTCTCCATCCTTGCTCCATGCTCGCTCTACGTCTTCTCCTTGCTTTCACCACCCATGCGAAAGATTTGCTTGTGCCGCTTAATGTTTACCAGCTTATTGCGGCAGCTCCAATCAATGTCAAAGTCCAAATGATTGACAGCACGCGACACCGCAAAACTGCCTGCAATTATATCGCCCCTGTGTATAGGCACAAGCTGATCAATGTGGAAGAGTGTCTGCTGCCAGTGGGTGCTGCGAGCACAGGGATTCGTGGACACAAGCTCCTCAGGGGGGCCGTCCGGAAAGCCAAAGTCAAAGTGCACGACAAACAAATCGATTATCTCCTGACTCAGCAACTGCAGTTTAAACGGCACGCTGAAGCTCAGCTGCTCACGCTTGATGGTGCGCACATCCATATGCCAGATCTGCTGCGGCTCCGAGATCAGCTGGCGCTGCAGCACGCGTCCTACTTTTGGTAGCCGCTGCACAATGCTCGCCGCATGGGAAAGATTTAAGCCAGCAAAGCGTGACCAGCGGTGCCTGGGCGGCTTCACGTCCCGGTCCTCAGCCACAGAGAGGTACAGGCGGGCCGTGTTGGGAAAGATGCAGCCCTTGGGCTTGAGCCACTTGTCGCGCGCAAAGATTACTTGGTCCAAGGCGGAGTTGTACACCAGACAGGCGCTGAAAAGGGAGTAAAAGACATCATCAGCATGGAGAACCAAGCGTGTGGCATAGTCCCGCACTCACCCCATCCACTTGGACACTATAACATCAATAGGTGGCAGCTGCAGCTCCTTAATGTCGCCCTGAATCACCTCAATGACGCTGTCCAGCCCGTTCTGACGCACCAATTGGCGTGCCACCTGCGCCACATCGCCAGAGTCCACAGCAAACACACGTGCAGCGCCCTGCTTGGCCACCATCATGGACAGTAGCGCACTGCCACAGCCCACCTCCAGGACAGTGGCACCTGCGAAGATTTCAGCATTGCGCTGCGACCGAATTGCATCGCGAAAGGCCGTCATCACCACATCGTCCATGATAAACACCTCCTGGTTATTCATAAACTCTATGAACGCATTGTGCGAAAATGACATTTGAGAGAATCGCTGCAGAAACTTCTCCTCGTTGGGCTGCTCCATTTTTAAGCACTTTTTCTTATTTGTTAACAATTGGAAGCGCAAAATGTAAACAGATAACTCCGCCAGTCTATCGATAACAGCGATCACTAGACACAGCGCTGCCAGACTGGACAATTATCCGAAATGATCTAAGCGCGAAGTTCAAACGGGCATTCATATTGGTTAGAGTATCAGAAGTTATAATCCTCACAAGAAGAATGTCCTCGGATCGAAATTCTCATTCTCATTGTTCTCCTCCATCTCAACACTTCCTTAGAAAATCTCTATCTTTAAAAACTTTAAAGTTGTACAGCTTCAGAGATAGGGAATTCCCAACCTCTAACCTTTCAACTTCAAAGAACTGCCCGGGGATTTCCCCGGCCTGCCACGACGCTCCACTTTCCATTGATTTGCCCCCACATTGTGCTTATCTCGCGACCAATGGCCATTCGCTGCGTCTATTTAAAGTCATTTCGCCAGAAGTTGACCAGACAAAAGAGGAAGATGATGAAATTGTTTGTCGATGTCGTATGGTGATAACCGCTACAACGAGCTCAAGTACCATTGGAAATTGGCTCAGAGATTTCGGTACTTTACACAGAGACTGAAACTGGTATGCGTATATGGTATTTTTTTGGTGTGCGAACTTTGCGCGCAGTTTGCGGTTCACGTGTGCCAGGGTCACCTTCGCCTTCACCTTCAAACTTCTGCACAGAGCGATCAATCAGAGTCGTTGGAGGAGGGAATTGTGCGATCATTCGCCTTACGCATGAAGCGATAGGTGATTCAAAGAGCAAAAGAGATAGCGGCAGAGTGACTCAAATGACATCATTCCAAAGTTCAAACTCGCCACAAGATTCGCTTTTATGGTTGATCATCGATTGTTGAGAGAACTCTGTAGTTGAGGCTGCACTGAGGTATGCAGAGGGGTTCAAGGGTATGCTGTAGTTATCGAAAAGAATGTGAAATTAATTTAGATATTAAATGAAACAATAGCTGTAAGATCGAAGGCGATTAATCGAAATTTGTGCAAGTTAATCGATAAACAGCAAAGGAAGAAGCAAGAGCGGAAATGTCATCACTAGACAAAAGTCGCAACTGTACAGAAACCTACGAATAAAAGCTGTAGTTTCCGCAAATGTGAATATAAAGCAATGAAATTCAATAAACTTAGTTTTATTTACATTTTCCACCCATATACCCAACCTCATTTTGATAATTTAATTCCCAGCAAAAGATTTAAGCATTCCAAGCCCTGCAAATTGACTTCTCCCAGCGATTACTCCCATATTTTTCACTACCCTTAGCTCGAAGCTTATTTAAAATTCCCCTTTAACGGGTATTCCCATGGTCGTATGTTACGACTAGTCTGTCGTTTCTCTACTCGTTTTTTGTATTGTTTCTGCTGATCTGACCGGCCTGCTTTACATTTTTTTTTTACTCATCCTCTTCCAATGACTGACTGACGCCGCACTGCTGCTTCGCCCCCTCACTTCGATGCGTTTCTACGCTCCTAAATGTTTTTTATATATTTTATATTTTCTTGGTTCAACGTTTTCTGAATTTTTTGCGCGTTGACCTTAAATGCAATGCACAAAAAACTGATGTGATGATGTTCACTTCCGTCGTTGTCCTTGCTAAAGTGCAAAAACCCTCTGGAACAAAATAAAAAATAATACAAATTAAATATAATTCATGCCCCGTTTAAAATGTTTTGTGTGATCTCAGATAACTCGGGATCTCGAGTATCCAATCATTGGATTTATGGCCCCAGCACACTCGATCAATAATTTGCAGGAATATGTTAATTATTATTTCGGTGTTTTGGTCACTCCTTCTGCTGCGATATCTTCATGCATAGCATCGATATGGTGAGTTCCCCCCTTTCGACTCTTGATTATTTGAAACGCGTCGCGAGTGTCTAAAAATAAATAAAGCAACAACAATACTACATTTTTTGTTGTGCGCTCGTGCTTCGATTAGACATCGAGCAAAAGCAAACAATCGTCGGTGGAAGCGGACGCCGAGCAGGAGGCAGCAGAAAATGTGCTAAATACTGAAAATCATTGAGCACGCCACCCGGTCATGTACACCGAGCTGATCGAAGGTGGATGGACAGCGTATGGGATGGTGGGAGTGGTTGTTTCCAAGAAAGCGTACCAAAAGCAGAAAGCAAATTGGCAGCGCTGTCATCATGCATGTATAAGGGAATGCAATGAACGTAGAGACTGTGGCAAAAGTGAAAGATGTTAAGATTATAGACGTAAATTGATCTTTGTCCTGAGCAGAAAATCTTTCATTAATGCTCTGCTCTACACTCTACTCCTGCCCAGAAAATCCAAATCCAACAGCAGATTGGCAATCACTATGTTACATGTCATGCATGTATAAAATCTGTGAAGATTGCAGGACTAGCACCCATGACTGCCTAAATCCAGACATGATCCTCCGATCCAGGCCTCTACTTCAACATTCCAAAAACCGGTTGGCAGTCCCTAAGCCTTCTGTCCTGCATGTTTGATGAAATGCCAAGAATGTAGAGTGAGTGCACTCACACATTGCGTGGCCGATGGTCACTCCGTTGTAATCGCTTGGCGATAACACTCCAGACAGCGACTGCCCTCGACTGTAGGTCTTGCTCCACCTCTTCCCTTTTCCTTTTCTTCCCCCACGCATCAAATATCAAGTACAACAAACGCGCCCACTTAGTCAAACAGCGCGGCGCAATGTCAACAAAAACATGGAGAATGATATGCAGAGAGGCATGAGGGAAGAAACCAGAGCCAGCAAGGGGGAAGAATCAAAGAGAGAGCGCGAGGCGCTGCCCACTTGGGCTGTTTCCATTGTGACACAGTCACACGCTGCGTAGTGGCTAACACTCTCTCTTTATAGGGTTTACGTACTCCTCAAGGGCAATATATTAATCGCAATCGTAGCCCCTGGTCGTTCCGCCTCAATCTAAGGAACCAAAACAAGCGAGAACCAACGCCCCATAAACAAGGTCTTGCTACGTCATGGTACCAGAGCAGAGCAGAGCAGACCAGCCCATGCCCATGCCTCAACCATGCCAACCATTGGGGAGTACGTTAGATAAACAGCATGCCCCGGATTTGCCGCCAATTGCAGATTTGTGTGCACGCAGCCATTGGCTGTCAATGAGTTCGATAAATAAATGGGGGGTATAAAGAGATATAGAAATAAAGGGAGCGAGATGGAAATAGATACTTTTATTTACATTCGGAGATTGCATAATATTTTTTTAATAAAGTATAACTTGGGGAAAGATTTGGATGTATATAAAGCTATCGGGCAATTGTTGTTTGACTTTGCTGATATTCCATAACATGAAAAGATAGAGGAAAATTGTTATAGTCATGTTTTGTGCAGGCTGTACCTTACTGGAGTGCTGCAAAGTTTGATCCTGGATAGCGAAATTGAACTAGATAGGAAAGCTAAGTATTTCTATAGCTCTGAAAATATAAAGAAGATTTATTTTTACAAGCTTACTTCCTCTACCTCAATCCTTTAATGTTTTGAAGGAACTGTACTCTTTTGTTCTTACTATTATAATGATACTGGCTCATCAGTTGCATATTCCACATAAAGGATCCATATTTAAAAAGTGATAAATCACCCATTGACATTGATTACCCACTGCCTCCCCATTGATAACTTATTTGTGTGATTTGTTTTGTTGCAACTGTACCTAATCTTAATAATCTTAATGCGCTTCCCTTATCACTATGACTCATGGCAAAAGTCTGACTCTCCACAATGTCATCCGAGGTCACAGCTCGCTCAGGAAGCTATAATCACGAATGAATGAGAAATCTCTATAGATAACCCCAGCTAAAAGGGAAAACTACGTGTACACCCGAGAATTCATTCACAAATGTCCACCCACTACCAAGATGAGACATGGCAAAGATTACCCCCCCCCCCTGGCTTTAATGACGTACACGAGCTGAACACCTGCATTCCCAAAGTCATAGACGGACCCGGACGCCCGGTCCAGCCCCCCCATGCACCGCCGCATTGATAACCAAGAGCCATTGACGGCGGCGCATGGGAAGCGACGCCACGCCATGCCGGGGGTCGGCCGTTGGGTGGGGGCGGTTGGGAGAGTGGCTGATAAGAGGGAGATAAGAGCCACGCCTCTCGCTCATGTTGTGACTGACCAGCGGGCAGACTATAAGATTGGCCGACATGCGGCATCCAGCTGGGGTAAATCATGAGACGGCAGTGCTTATCAGTCGTCTTCTCCCCCTTGCTGCCCCGCACCAGTAGGGTTGGGTTCCAAAAATGGATGGCCTCTGGCACGAGCGGACGGACGTACCAGCTGTCCGGGGGATATGTTCGCCGTAGCAAAAATCGCTGTGTTATGAATAACGCAGTTTTATTTTGCCTGATTGCTCGTTCGCTCTCCGCTCTCGGCGTGGCCGAGGTGTTCACGTTGACTTCACGTGCCCCCAATCAGAGGCCCCAGCGACCTCGTCAACATCGGAATCGGAATCTACGTCGATGTCGGCATACAAAAAACGGGTCTATCTACTCTCTCACTCTGCACACAATGGGACGGGGGACGGGTACGATGGTGCTTATTCTAGATTTATTTCTGTTTGTGCCATTTATACACTCGTATTTTCCACTTATTGATGATGTTTGTTGATTCCCCCCCATTTGCGCTTGATGATGATGATGAAGATGAACTGAAGGCATCGATATGCCCCGAGGCAACTGTCCCATTAACGCCCATTCACCTGAACCGGTTCATGGACAGTGGTCGGGACGAGAAGGGAAACCTTCTCCGATCCCATTCCATCCCATCCCATCCCGTTGCGCCACGGACAACAACTTTCAAGTTCAGATGGAACATTTGGCAAGGGAAGGAACTGGGCCAAGGTCGGTCCCCACGAACGGCCAGAACGAGAAACGACAGAGAGAGAGAGAGAGCGAAAAGCAACAAAAACCAGTGTGTATGGGGGGGGGGGGAAACCTTCAACACATCATCATAAAATTTCCATTGGTGTTTCCCGCAATGCCCAGCTGAAGGCCGCTCTGGCCCTTTGCTCTCATTGTTTACAGCATGACAACCTCATGATTCTCGGTTCCCACACTGCCTTCTGCCTTTTTCCAAAAATTTGGAAACATTGTAGGCTACCCCGCAGTGTTCCGGGCTTCCATTGCGTTACGTTTTTTTCGATGGCAACGCGTTATCAGGCACGTAGGCAGAGAGCAAAACGCATTGCAGTCGGGGGGATAGGAAGCACGTGATGGAACCTAAACAGAATCTTAGCTAAAGTACAGGGTCTACAGATCTAGCCATAGAATTAGCTCGCTTGCAGGCGAAACTATCATCAAATTATGATTCAATTATTCAAGAAAGTATGCCAGAAATTCGCTTAGTGATGAAATATTCTTAGAAATAAATGATTCACAAGCTGCTATTATTATTTATACAACTTAATAGATACTAATTTCCGTCTACTTATTTTTTTTTAAACAAAATAGCAGCAAAGCAACTCCTGAAAAGTACACGGTGGCGATACGGTGCAAAGGTAAATCGGTTTGATTCTGAACAAAACAAGTACAGATATTTCATCAGTCCCGATTGTACCGACCCACATTGGTACTGAAACGACAACAAGATCTTGGAAGCTTATCTAGAAGTCAAAATAATATTAATGGCAATGTAAAATATTTCAAGGAAGTAGAAAAGGTATACAATCGGGTGAAGAAAATCAATGGGAATGATCAGAAAACAGTTTTTAACAGCTCTTTTTGATGTATCCTTTCCACCATCGATAGCACACAGTGTTTCCTTCGATGAAAAACGATCTCTTTCGATAATTCTATTCGACAACCAACTCACAGCCTGTTTATTTCCAATTTCTGCTTCGATTTATGAATCTACCACCTGAGCTCCGGTAAACATTCGACACAAAAGAAGCCTAAAAAGATGACAATAATATGGGCTAGAGGCAAAAGAGGAGACGGTAAGGTCTTCGTCTTTGTTGATGGAGTTGTGGCTTGATCACGAGTCATGACATGACGTCATGGAGACTTTTGAGGATAGCGCGTGGTGCTTAGAGGGAGATCAGAGACAAGTTAATTTATTTTTTTCGGGGTTTTACCCAGTCCCCCGAGTTTCAATCGAGCGATGGCCAAGAAAAACATAAAGAAAATGTTTGCCAAAAGTGAATTGCAAAATCTCGAAAGGGGCACAACTTGAGGCAATGGGAAAGCGGAAAATGGGCCTCGTCTGTTGACGCTTTTGACGTTGTTGCCGTGTCGAATTATAGACACATTTCTCATGTTTTTTCTATGCGGCAGGGCACACTCGTTGGCTGCATGATTCGACTGTTGGACCTGTGCGACTGGGGGTCTGACGTCAGGCTACACCTGTGATTGACGCTCGAGCTCGAGCAACGCCTCCTCCGTGTGTCCGGTGATTGAGAAAACAGACACATGGCCATGGCCGGGCTTGTGATTGTGCTTTTGCTTGGAATTCCTCTGTAATAAGCCAGCCATAACTAGGCGGAGAAGAGAGAAAGAGTGAGAGAGAGGCCTTGAACCCGGACAGAGTAGAGTGGCGGAACACCAACGTCATTGTCGTTCGCCGTAGCTTCTTACGTTTGACCTTTGACGCGCAACAGGAGCAAAAATGTAGTATGTGTGTGACGTCACCAGGCGCTACGTAATATTACTGCGTCAATGCGCAAGCTCTTTCTCTCTCTCTGTTAAAAAAGGGCTCTCTCTCGCCCACTACTATCTGTCTCTCTTCTTAAGTAAGTCGGCTTTTTCGCTAGGGTGTGGGGTGTGTGACGGCCTACGTGCAATTGAGAATGTGCGTGGGCACGTGTTCTCAGAGTCCGGATTTGGATTTGGATACGAAACGGGGTGGAAGTATCTGGAAGTGCGTGCGTGGGCGCCCTCCACACCAAATGCATGTCAAGGAAGCTGAACTTGAACCTGGCCCCGGGGACTGGCCGAACACGGCAGAGTCTTTCCGTCTAAATTTAGATACATTTGTATGAGCAACCTCCAGCTTGACGATGATAAAATTATAGAGATTTCCCTAATGCCATATTTATGGGGTAGGGGGTAAGTAAGTCGGGAAGCGTCCTCCAACTGCGACGCAATTATTGCATTCCAAATGAGCGGCGTGTGGTGCACTTCCAAGGGGACGAACGGGTGTATGCCATCATGCCATGAGACTGCGCTTCAGTTCCGCGCAAATTTACACACGAATTTCGTTTCCAATAACAACAAAAAACGCAAGCACTCAAACACCCACACGAATACGCACACACACTTCCATACTGATACAGACTGCTGGCCTCTCTCTCTCGCTCTATCCGTATCTCTCATTCCATCACAGCAAACGAACGAACGCCTACCAAAGTATCAACAAATGTTCACGTGAACAACATGAGGTCAACGCGTGATACAGCCGCAGCACAGACACACACACACACTTAAAGCCAGAGGCAAACACGCTCAGCCAGTAAGAAGGTTATTTACGTAACGGGTCGACTAGTTGATACCTTCTCCAGGAATTATTCAATGCTAGACACACAGAACTCATCCATATTTTACTAATTTCTTATATTGGTGACGACGTGTAGGCACACGTCAAATGACGAATCTTACTTTTCTTTGCGAATGAGTAACAAATGCTGTTGGAACCAAGCCATTGCTCCGATAGCTTCCTTTGACCTGACATACTCTTGATACCCTCTCTACCATGGCATGCTAGTTGTTGTTGCGCAAGAGAGTCACAGCTGTTTCTGCTGGCGCTCTCTCTCTCCACTCTGGTTCTCTTTGTGTGTGTTCGCTGTACGAGCCCCTTTTTGCTTTGAAAACTTGTACAGGCGAACGAACACACAGCGTTGCCAGGCCACTGTATTAGATTTACTTTAGGTATGTATTTTGTAAATATGTTTAATTGTTTATATAGTTAGTTTGGGTTAAAATTTACTTGTCCACTTGTTTATTTAATATTTCATTGCCATGTGACTCATTTCAAATTTCACGACATGTCTCAACATTTACATAGCAGCTGGCAACGCTGATGATTCGCTCAACTGTTGATCTCCAATACCATCTCGCATTCTACCGTTCTCTATCTCTTTGTGTAGCGTCCATTAATAAAATCTTGCGTTTCGCCTTCCCACCCCACTCGAGTCGATCCAGACACCAAAGTCTGACTTTGGCTATAATGCCTATGCAAATATATTCGACGAGGCCAAGATCTGTCTAATCGGATGCCAGGTGCGTCTGCCATAGCGTTTCAATGGCTAAGACCCTGTCTCGACCGCGTTCGAGCCTGTTTTTTTTGTCCATTAATCACGAACTTCCGTAGCAACAACTGCGTCAGCGTCACAGCTTTTGGCGGCGGCCCGACTCCCAGTCATGGCTTTGGGGTGTGTCTGTGTGAGCTCCACAAGTTTGTGAGTGCGAATGTGTGTGCTACGGCTGTGCTGTGCACGCGGCTTGTGCATGGACAGCCTATGAATAGACAGGGGCGGGGCCCCCCTCCAAATGGAATGGAATCTTCTGACGGTCCCCCTCCTTAAACCATCCGACCATCGAAAAACAAGTCTCAAGTAAACAGCTGATGACGTCCGTCCATGCGTTTGTTACGTGGTAGTGCCGCCTCTCTGCTTAAGAGATCTTCCATTCCTAAGAATACACACATATGTATGCATGTGTATATTTATGTATGGGAAGGAAAGGGAAGGCAGCAAACACAAGAGACCTGACCTTTTCAGAATGTCAGGGGGGGGTAAATCCACAAAGAAGGGAAGAAAACTGGCGTTTTGCTGCCCACGTTGCTGCTGCCTGATGGCTGCTGATGTCCGGCGGCAGCCGCTGTCCGGGTTCCCGAGGTTCCATTCGGTTTCATTGCACTGGTTGCTCCACTCACGAAACGATGATGACGATTTTTGTCCTCCCCCCGACACACACCTTCATGTCTACCCACTTACAAGTGATTACGTCGGCGCTTCCCTCGCACAGACACAAACACACACAGAGCAGATACTCTGCGACTGCGGCGCGGCAGCGGTGGGAGCTCTGTTGGGAGCCCGTTGACTAAATGTTGTTTCATTCGTCTTTTGAATTCTGAACGCAACGGTTCGCTTAGCTCCCGCTACCCGCTCCACACGGCCTGGCCGAAAAGCGCAGTCCATTGAAGAGTACAAAAAAAGAAACAGTTACAGACTTGTGCAAAATCTCGGAGAAGAAATAACAGATTAAACAAAGTGATAAGAGAAAGAGACAGTTAACTCCTACACCCGGCTACAAAGACCAGGGGAGAGTGAAAGAGAAAAGTGCATCGCAAAGAGAGTGCAAAGTGCAAGACTAATCCTCAACAAAGAAATGGATATGAATATGGATACCCTGCTGCTGCCATCGCCGCCAGCAACGCCCCCCCTGAGGGAAAATAAATTGGAAAATGTAAGTAAATCGTGAATGTGACTCACGGGGGAGTGAATGTGTTTGACCTACAATGCGATTGTGATTAGTGGAATAGTGAATGTGATTAGAGCCAAATGCATCCCGGACCCTGGGCCATAACAGAAATTCCCGCACATTTACCGCCCCTCCCCATAGGCCACAATCACGCAGGGGGGCCATGGGAGCAGACGTTCGTACGGTCTCGCTTCCACTTGTCGCGTTTCTAAAAACAAAAGTGTCCCATCTCTCTTGCACCCATGGCCAGGGCAGATCACGCAGCCAGCACGCGTTCACGTGAACACCGCATGCTCAGGCTTATAGGAAAGAAACAACGGAGGAGTGCCGCGGGGGCTGAACATTGGACCCCTAGCACACAGGCACACAGTCTCGTCGTCGTCGAGAGCGCAGCGCACACATACAGTTAGGCCAAAGAGAGGGCACACCAAGGCATATCAAATAGGAGGTAGAGTAGTCCAAATAACGGCCTCTATTTATGCTTTTCTATGCGTTAGACCTTACCTTCTATTTAGCATATTTGGGAGAGTCTTGTTTTGAGAGAGCTTGCTTGCGCTTGCTAGTATGTGTGAGCGAAGGTGATTTTGCCAATTAGACGAGACGGCAGAAAAATACTACAATGAAGAAGAGGAAGACAGAGAGGCTAGGCAAACACGGGGCCACAACCAAGCCCCGGTACCATAAAAATATGTCACATTGCTTATACTGCTCTACTCTGCTCACCCCCCCTCACTTATCTGGCAAACAAACAGAGTCATGCACTCGCACACACACCATGGCAAGCAACGTGCCGAGCCCATAAAAAGATTTCAACGACGTTTATATATCGTTCCCCCTCGCACCCACCACACGCGGCACACCTGCAGCACGTAATAACTGTAGTCATTAGTCTTGCTGCACTGCTCCATTGCCTGCTTTTGGGCGAGCAATTCAAATTTCATTGAACCGCGGACAAACGGCTTTCCAAAAAACAGTGCAAAAACCGCCAAAAAATACATAAATAAATAAATATACATCAACCTTCTTGGCCAAAATGAGTGCGTTGAACCGACATCTCCCACCCACAGCTGACAGGTTAAGGTTAACGGTGAACGGCCTTGCGTGATGCCTGCGTAATTAGCAAAAATTTTTCGACTTAAAGTCATTGTGGGTCACAGCCCTGTCCGGTCTGGTTTTGGGGGAAAAGTGAACGTGAATGTGAATGGACTCACGGGATCAGGTTATTAAACTCTTACTAATCATCACCCTTTTCTCTCTGTATCGCTTCAGGTGGTCAAGGACGAGCAACAGGTGAACGAGAACCTGCTGAAGGCCAAGCTGAAACTGGTGGCCCAGAAGAGCCAGAAGAATGGCGGCGGCATCATCACACCCAATCCCTCGGACACTGAGGATGAGGCACCCGAAATGGACGATGTGCCCAGCAAGAAGCCACGCCTGGAGCAGCCTGCGGTGACCATGACACCGCCGCCCGACCAGCAGAAATCCGAGGAAGAGGATGAGTCCAAGAGCGATGATGAGCCCAAACGTGTCAGTGTCATTATGCGGGTGAACAGCTCGGGCGCCGTCTCCTCTTCCCAGAATGAGAACAGCTCCAGCTCCTGCTGCAGCTCCTCCTGCACCACCACAACCACGAGCAGCACAGTCAGCCCAGCCATGGAGGATGACTATCCTGAGGCGAATGTGTGGCGCAATCTCAAGTTCAAGATGAACCGCAAGCGGGCCGCCGAGGTGGCCTTGCCCCAGCCCCCAGCATCAGTCCAAGCACCAGCTCCAGCACCGACTCCAGAACCAGCGGAAGAGCCGCAAACAGAGAAAACGGAACCCATTGCCATTCTGCCAGCCTCCAGCAACAGCATCTACATCGCCACACCAGCCTCACCATCAATCGCCTGTGCATCCCAGCTGCTCCTGCTCAGCACAGTAGCCGCCCAGCAGTGCCCCAACCCATGTCCGGCGTCCAGCCCCAAGGCCGAGTCGCCAGCCGAAAAGCATCAGCGCATCACCGCCGCCCAGGCAGCGGCCACCCGCAGCCGCATCTATGAGTGCAGCTTCCCGGAGTGCGGCAAGAATTACTTCAAGAGCAGCCACCTGAAGGCCCATCAGCGCGTCCACACCGGCGAGCGTCCCTTCGTGTGCAAGTGGGATAACTGCGACAAGCGTTTCTCCCGCTCCGACGAGCTCTCCCGCCACAAGCGCACCCACACCGGCGAGAAGAAGTTCCAGTGTGGCGTCTGCCAGAAGAAATTCATGCGCAGCGATCACCTCTCCAAGCACGTGAAGCGTCACAACAAGGACAAGGCCAACGGCGTCAATCGCAACGTCTCTGTGGCTTCCAACTCCTCCTCGGCAGCCTCGGTGTCCGCCCTCTGCGACCCCACGCTGCACCTGAGAGCCATTGCCCCAGCGGCTGCCGTATCCAGCTCAGTACAAACATCGCTGCCAGTCACGCAATCCTCACCAGCCACGCTTCAGGTGTACAGTGCCCAGGATTTGTTGCGACTGCAGCAGCAGGCGAGCGGCTTTACCTTCAGCGGAGTGGGAACTCTGCTGCAGGCGCAGCGATAAAGAGAGACCAGCAGGAGCAACGCCAAACCAATCTCATCCCACAACACAGTATCACCAGCTGGACAGCAGAGAGCGAAAGCGTAGAGAGAGAGCGTGAACGGAGCCCAGCTGGGGTGTAGTTTTAAGCAATAGATTTAAGAGCTAGATCTTGTCATCGTTTTGTGCATATATCAAGTTAATATTCAATAACCCTTTGCTACGCTTCGAACTGGCGCTGGATCGCATGCCGATCCATTTCAGTGGATTAGTGGCGGAGGCAGCGCCACTTCATTCTTTCCAAGGGCACAGAGCACACACATGTTAGTTTAGCGATCTGCTGATTCTAATTCTGATTATACCTAGTGCATCTTTATACACATATACGCGTATATTTAGCGGCAACATCTGTGATATTTAAGTTTTCTTACCTATTAACTATTTTCTATATTGTAACAATACTGTAGTTATCGCTCGTACTCGTAATTCTCCTAATCTTACACACAACAAAACCACACACACAAAACAACAACTGTATTTATTGATAAATGTGGAAAAGAACAACAAACAAAAACAAAAAAAATAGAATGGATCCCCCACACGGACCAAATCTCAAAACAAAATGAAAATATATATATTTTCCAAAATAATTACAAAGTTGACTTTATTTACTGAACTGCAGTTTTCGTTAGAGTCCCATGTGCCTCGACATTCGGATATTCGTATATGATGCGAAATTGCGATAGATGTTCAGTGGGCATATACACAGATTTGCATAGGAATTAAGAGAGATCATTAATTATGAATCAAATACAAATATGGATTACTAATATGCATTAACTAAATGGCAACCTTTTCAGGAGTGGATACAGAAAGATCTTTAACGTGAATCAAAGGAAGATGCCAAAAGCCATTACTGCCATTATTTGCAAAGAATTCATAGCTGACTTAATGGGAATTTAATGGATTCTTTATAGTAATAACTATATACGAAACAGCTATATACAAAAAAAGTTTCCAAGTTTCCAGCAAAAAAGTCATGTCATTAAATAAATGTCTTAATTTGTGACTAATGGAATAAACAATAGTTTTACGGGCTTTTCCTGTTCTCTCTCTCTGTAGCTTTGATCAAAGATTATAGAATACGAAGATTCTACGTTGGTTTTATTCGATTTATTATAGACGATATAGAATATCCTTACACTCAGCACAAACAGCTTAGTTCATTTACCAGATAGTTTTCTGGGTTGTTTTAGCTGAAATAAATTAAATTAAAATCCCATAACACCAAGTACATTCAGATTTCAGATCCTTCACTTAAACCCCGAAAAGTGCGGTAAATTCGCAGATTTTGGGTTTGGCCTGTGGCGAGCAGGCCTGCCGCACGGCCATTTCCCAGGTGTCGAGTAGATGTGAAAGTGAGTAGTTTTTCGGTAGCTTGGAGATGCGTGCAATGAGAGCCTGCTGAACGGTCTGCAGGAAGGGCGTGGCGGAGTACTCCTGTTCGGTGAGAGAGCAGTCGGGCGCCTGCCACGGATACTCTTCTGGGACACTGACACTCACTGGCGGCACACTGGGCAGTCGCTTGTCGTCCAGGCAGCAAATCAAACGAATAGATTTATTGTTGATCTGCGCTGTGGTGTCCAGCTTCACCTTGAACTTGGTGTCCAGGCGTGCAATCTCGCCTTGGAGCACATGGGGCACATCCTGCTCAAAAGGTGAGGTCTTATTCTCAATGCGCGGCTTCTTGGCGGGCACTGGAGCCACGATATCCGTGCCGAAGAGCAGCTCCAGTGTAGGTCGGAATGTGCGATGTAATGTGTGATTGGCTATGGGACTCTGCAGCGTGGTATTGATAACCTCCAGCAGGGGATTCGAGGATTTCTGGGGGTATGAATGAGACTCATTTGAAGACAGAATTCGTTGGAGTGTATTGTCGGGAGCTTACGCCAAACTGTTGACCCGAAATGGAGATCAAATCCATGCGCTCCAGCGCCTTCTCGCACTTGAGCAGCGTCTCCAGTGGCACCCGCTGCGTGGGATTGCACAGGATCTCCAGCAGCTTGCTCATTTTGGTCATCTTTTCCACATCTAAAAGGGAAGAGTTTGAGTTGAAAGAGCAGCTCTGGTGGCGCTTATCGTTAGACACTCACTAGTTCCATCGTTGCTGATTTTTGCGAGCATGCGCTTCAGTGGCTCAATGTATTTGGTCAGCTGCTTGTACTTCTCCCTGTACAGCGCCTCCTCCTGCGGATTGAATGGACTATTGCCCGTTACCTGGCCGGGTGTGTTGATAGAAGCATTGCTAGGCGACTGCTGGCGGATGTTACGCTGTGGATTCTGCATCATCATTTGGGGACTGGACTGCGGCACCAGTGCCGGACTGGGTATCATTTGTGGCGTGGGCATTTGTGGCGTTGGTGGCTGCTGTGTCGGCGTTTGGTTGCCCACAACGAGCTGTTGTTGCTGTTGCTGCTGCTGTTGTTGTTGTTGTTGCTGCTGTTGCATTTGTTGCAGCTGCGCCTGCTGCTGTTGCTGCAACTGTTGGGCATCCGCTGGCGAGGGACTCGAACGCATAAAAGGCTGTCCCGGCTGCTGGCCGCCAACGACGCCACCGCGATTGCCTGGGAACATTTGTCCCGCCTGGCCCATGGCCATGTTGGGTTTTTGTTGAATATTCGGTGGCATGTTGACGCCCATGCCACCCATGGGATTCATGCCGCCCTGCTGCACGGCATTGGGTGGCACCACCTGCTGCTGCTGCTGTCCCGCCGGTCCGCCCACGCCGACATTATGCTGCGGCTGCTGCATATTTGGCGGCATTCCCTGCATGCCCTGACCCATGCCTTGGGGTCCACCCATGCCGTTGCCTTGGTTCATGCGCATCATGGGACTCATGCCCATCTGGAAAAGGAATTCGATTGGAGTTTTCCTTCTGGTAAAAATCCTCTCCCATACTTACAGCCATTTGATTTTGTTGGATCTGCTGCATGGGCGGCATCTGTTGCATGGCATTCACATTCATCGGTCCTCCACTCTGCATTTGGTTGGGCACAGGCCCAGCACCGGCACCAGGAGCATTTGCACCTCCGGCACCGCCTGCGGGGCCACTGTTCGGCCCTGGACCGACCATTTGATTTGGCATGCCACCCATCTGTTGGCCGGCATTGCCACCGATCTGGCCCTGTCCCTGGGCACCGCCTGCACCCATTACGTTCATAACGCCGGGCGCATTGCCACCGCCGCCGCCCATTTGCTGCACCTGCATCATCTGCTGTGGTCCGCCTGCACCCGCACCCACGCCCATGGGCATCTGGCCACGTATATTGGGCATAGGCTGCATTTGCTGGCCGGGACGCTGCTGGTTGAGGGACTGCAGCAGATTCGAGGCAGTGCCAGGGCCGCCAGGCACAGGAGCGCCACCGGCCATGGGCATCATCTGGGGATTGCGATTGCCCTGGCTAGCCAGATTCTGTAGCGCATTCAGCGGATCCTGCATCATATTCTGTTGGCCCATTTCCGCGTTCGGAGGCGGCGGCTGCTGTTGCTGCTGCTGTTGTTGTTGTTGCTGTTGGGACTTGCGCGACATATCCTTGTAGTGCATGAAAAGCTTGGCCACCAGCCCCAGGTACTCGTCCTTGCTGCGTGACTTGCGAAAGATGTGGTTCTCCATACCGCTGGCATTCTTCGTCTGATCCTGGGCATGCGGCGGCACCAAGTCGTGTCTGAAAAGAAAAATGTTCGTTGTTTTTGTGGCACTTTTTTTTTGGCTTTTTGAGTTGCTTACATTTTGGAAATTACATTCTGGCGAAACTTCTGACTCTGCCAGTCTTCCGTCATAATTTTAGTTCACTAAATCGCCTCAAATCGAATTTAAATAGAATTTTTTCAAATACTTTTCCCAAATTTTCTTTGTTTTCAGCTTCTTCTTTCACAGTATGACCGTTTGTGAGGTGCACAAAAAAAAACAGAGTAATACCGGCATTGCAGGTTCTCAATTTCACTGTCTGGCAGCACGATACCGCTCTTACGTTACATATGTGTACTCAGTGGGCTGCCAGATCTACGAATACAGGTCTCCTTCTGAGTCGCTCTAACGGTAAATATAGAACATGAGCACAGAAAAGTTCAATTAGCACCCTTCGCAGCCACTGCTTGCTGTTTCTCTTAACAGTTCTTCCTCCCAACCGAACTCAACCACCTGTGTGACTTATTAACGCTCCCTCCCTGAATCCATGGACACATGTAAACACACACATGGAGAGGCGGGCCTCTCTCCTCAGCAGACCGACGAACGTTCCTTCTGATAGTTTCGAAAAATGCTCGCAAACGATTACGCATGCGACTTATAAGTTATTACAATATTAATAAATATATAGCTTAAAATTATTAAAATACAAATGTTCTTATTAGAGAACGAAATAGAAAAGAATAATAAATCTCCCAAAAGCTCCTTCTTAAGAGCATTTTTTGATTTTAACTTGTATTTCCAAACTCTTCAAAACTGATCGCTAAACTCATCGAGCGATGCTGCCACAAACTAAACGAAACATATTTCCATAATTTCCAGGTCCTAGTGCGAGCGTTTTGTCGGGTTAAATCTCGCATTTTACTCGAATGCGATATAATTTGCGAGCGTTTGGCTTTGCTCTCTCCACTGCTCTTTCTCTCTGTAAAATTTCGTTTCGGCGCGTGCTAAGCCGACGAAGCTCTGCTGGCTTGTCGTTGGCGCTCATTAGCACTCACCGTGTTTTACCGTTGCTCTATTCGTATTCATACCTTCAACGAGAGCGGACTGTGCGCGCTGCTATTCTGTTCCGTTGGCGCGTCGTCGCTGCTGTCGTCGTCGTCGTCGTGTGTTTTGTTCGTTGCGTTGTTTATTAACTTTTTATGTACTATATTTACTACGTTTGCCATTCCACCTATCTACTACTTGTACTGTGTACTATACGTATTGTGTATGATTTTTGTTCTTTGCATTTTACGCGCCGCTTTTCGACACATTTCGCCACGCTCGCGGTCCGCCGCTGTTCCAGCTATATTTGTTGCCACCTGTACAACACAGGGGGAGGTACGGCAACGACACTACCAGCACCATCACCTCCCTTGAAGCGTTGTCAATGCCGGCACACTAAGTGCCCTCTATGTGTGTGTGTGTGTGTGAGTTGCATTTTGGTGTATTTTTTTATGCTGACGTTTAAATATCATATCTAATACGTGCAAAAGAGAAAGAAAAGTGTTTCCATGAGAGTGGAAGAGAGAATTCCGTTCTTATCAGCATATATCGTGTGTACCACGAGTGTTACCTTGAAGTGCAAAAAAGGTAGCAAAACAGCAGCGCAGCGCGCTACCTCAAACTACTGCTCCCTCTCTTAAGTGCGTGGCCAAATATTAATTGAAAGCATGTGAAATTAACAGCAAAGCAAAAGCCATAGCCGAACAACCGTTACAATTCCAATTATAGTGCAAGTTACAAGAGAGGGAGGTATAAAAACAAAATAATCAAGCGAAACAGCAGAGACACACAAAAAATAACCCCCACAACAACAACAACCGAGGCAGCAGCAGAGCAGCAGCATCAGGCAGAACGTTTAAGTGAGCAGCGACTGAGCTGAGCGAAAATAGCATGAAAATGTCGAAAAACTGCTGAGGTTCGTATATGTAAATGTGTGTGTTTGCTTTTTCATGTAAATGTAAATGTAAGTAAGCAAGGTACATGAAATAGAGAGAGGTTGGGATAGTGGCAAGACCACCCACCCGTGGAGTGGGATTGCCTTACCCTCTTCTGAACGTAGCTTGAAGTTTGTATGTAAGTATGTCGAGAGCGTCGTCTCCCTGCTTCAGTGCATACGCTCGCTTCAAGCCTCACCCCCCTCAAGCCGCTGTGGCTATCACTCTTATCCCCTCTCTCTACACACACTATCTATCTGGCTGGGTGTGAGTTCGAGTGTGTGTGTGTGGCTTATGCCGCCGACTCGGGTGCTGCTCTACTTTATTCTGTTCTTTGGCATTTTTTCCATTTTGCGGCAATAACAACAAAGTTGATTACAACGACAGCCCCAAAAAGCGCCACACAGACAGCGGGAAAAAGAACGTGGACGGAAGATGGATGGGTCGACTGTGGCTTACCCACTGCTCTACTAAATATGCTACAGTACCTGTGGCACGTGATGCGGGTGGATATACCCACTTGATAGTTGTTTTTAATGGGTAATTACATCAACAACAATAAAAGTGTGTTGACATTTTTTTTCGTTTTTGCCTTTTCACGTCTGTTTTGCTCTATACCCCATGGATGTGACGGTGTTCGTGTTAGTGAGCGCTAGTAGGGGGTTGTATTAGTATTATTATTGGGGCTGCCTGGAATGGGCTACGTGTTGGAAATTATCAAGCCAAGCTTGTCATCGCGCCCAGCACGCACGAACATAAAAAACTACTACCACCACACACACTGGCAGACAGAAATACTTATGTATCCTACATATTTCCATACAAATATGTAAACTGTAAAGTTTTGCCGGCAGCAACAACGACGGCGACAACGATCTCAGCGTACAATTTTGAATTGTTGTTCTCTGGGACGTGTCCGTTAACTAGAATGAACTAAAATGAATGACAAGCGGCAGAAAGCCTATTGATTTTCAATCAATATTTTGTCCATACATATCTACAACTATGTAGAGGTAACGGTGGTGTTTGTATGTACAGTGGAGGCTCTACAATGGGAAACAGATGTTTCCGGGCACACGAATATTTCATTATATTTCAACGTTTTGAAACAAAATAAATTTCTCATAATAAAAATGAAATTGTATTGCCACTTGTTCATTGTTTATGAAAAGTTATGAATTGTACAAAGTGTGGTTCAAAATTAGGTTCAAAATGTGGTTTTTTTATCTAGAAATTTCGTATTTGATTGTTTCTTTCGATGCAACCCATTTTTAGCTGGAGTGTGCGAAAATAGGCCAACATTTCGTATAATTAAAAATTGTTTTCTCCAGTTCCATAACATCATTTTGATTTTCATCAAATAACTACGATTTCCGAATGTCGAGCGCTGCCTGTACGAAAACTAAACTATGGGATGACACAAAGTTTCTTTTAGCTTTCTGTTATTTATTTCTTTTTCTATATGTATCTTTTGCTCGTTCGCTTTGTTCGATTTTCTTGAATTTGTTTTGCATTTGAATTGGGAATTGCTATAGCTTCTTCTATCTCTATCTCTCTCTCTACCCCTGCCATTTCTTCTTTCATGTTTCTTTTCACCTTTGGAGACACGACGCGACTTGGAATCGACGACTCGCTCACGCATGCATAATAATCACAGACGTATCGGGGGGAGTGTGCATGTGCATGGCTGTGTGTGTGCTCTCTGCTGCCGTGGACGTTGACTGCTCTGCCAGCGTAATCGCTGCTGCTTTTTATTATCATTTGATTGCGCCGCTGCTGCTTCTGCCTGCTGCCTGCCTGCCTTGATGATTGTTGTGGTTGTTGTTGCTGTTTGTCGCCTATTTTTTTGCCGTTTGCTGCTCATTGTTTATATCAATTCCCTTTTGTGACGCTCTCTTTCCCTATCTCTTTCTTGCTACCTTTTTGTTTGGTTGAATTTACTTAATTTGTTTTTGTGGTCGCCGCTGCCTGTTCCAAGTCCTATTTAACCAACTCTCTCTCTCTCTCTCTCTCTCTTTTTCTCTTGCTCGCGGGGGCTGTTACCTCCAGCAGTTCGAACTGCAGCTGGAAGTTGCAAACCAACCAACAACCTATGATGCACTTTTCCAATCATAGTTGGTTCGATTATGCCCTTAAAAAGGGAGTATAATGCGTTTCAAGAGAGGTTTTGCACTGCAAGTGAAAGAAGCCATAAAAAGGGCAAGTGTAGGAACGAAGAAAATATTTGTACCCCAAGATAATTCCAACAAAGAGGAAAATTTCAGTTTTAGAAGCTATAACAAAATCTGAACGCTACATCCACACATCTCGCATACATAAAATTGCTTTCCAAAGGGTATCTACATAAACCTTATATCTTGCGGTAGCTTTTATTTTCTGTTACTTCTTTCACTTTGTTTGTTGTTATTTGTCACGCCTCTCGTCAGCGAACCGTTAGTGAGGCAAAGCAGATACAACAACACTTCAAAACAACAACAAGAACCAGTACCGTTAATGGGAGCATTGGAGCTGTCATGTTTGCTTACGAGCGGCGGCTTCATTTCCGCTCCAGCCAGGACATGGGCAGGGACGGGCCCCGCTGCTGCCAGGAAAAGGAGCGCGCTGAGCTGTCACATGTCTGCAGGAGCGGCTGCACTTGGCATACCCTGTAGCTGGTGTGGGTGTGCTCAAGCGGATGACACGCAGCAGAGGATGAAAGTTGTTTTGGCTAAAGATATTCCCTTTTGAGTTGAAAAGTGAAAGCATAAAGTAAAAGTGGCAGTAAAAGTACCCTATTAGGTACGCCAGGCCTAAAACTCACTTAAATTTGAGCTACATGTTGTGTAATTTAAGACACTTTTGTTATTAAATTAGATTGTTATGTTTTTGGATGCCAAAATATGCGGAATATAAATTTTTGATGTGTTTATTATGAACTTAAAAGAAATATAAAAATGTTCCCCCCTGAATGATGAGATTTCCAACAAGAGTTCTACCAATCAAAGGATCTACTACTAAAACAGTTTTCAATCGCATACATAAATATTCGCCATGCAAAATTTTAATTTAACTCCTAGAAATTTCTGCGGATTTACCAACAATACTCCCTTACTTATTCAAAACTTGTACATATTTTTCCCTACCTGAGGCAACCTTTTCACTCCACCCAGCACTACTTTTCACACTACCCACAGCCCTTCGGAATGAAAACTAATTAAGGGTTAGGCTTTGGCCCTTTGTAATTATTCCACCTTAATTATTCTTTTTTTAGGCGTTGTCTTATTTCCATTACAGGGTGTCAGTCCTTCATCGAAATGTTTCTTGATGCCATCCTGTCAATCCTTTGACTTTATTTTGTTCCCGTTTTTGCCTCACCACGGCAACCACTTGTTTTCCCAGGCATAACAGCAACAGAGCAACAGACACACACACACACACACACACACACACACACACACACACACACACACACACACACACAGGCATTTTACACCCCATTGTGGCACCCATACACTAACATTTTTATTGACTGTTTCCGAAGCCAACCCTAGCCCCTTCGGCAGGACACTACTACTGCCACCACACACACTACCCGTTGTCCTCACTGCGTCGGCGTCGTAGTCGTTGGTTGTCGCCTTCGCTGCTGCTGCTGCTGCCCCAAGTCAGAGCGTCGTCGGCATTCCGTGGCGTCTTCAACAGATGAAAAAGTTTTCCGCTGAGAACGCCTCAACGCGCCTCTCGCTGCCACACAATAAAAATAACAGCAAATCCTCGAAAGTTTTATAATTAAAAAAGAATCCCAGTAGTGGAAGCCCCATTGTGCCACCGAAATGTGTTAGTGGAAGTGCCAGTGGCAGTGCCTCAGTGCCACAGTGCCCCAGTGCGTGTGTGTCAGTGCCTCAGTGTCTGTTAGCCCGCCTTTTTGTAGCAGCATATGGCAGCATAATTCACACGATTCTCGGTGAGATTTGCATTTGTTTTACATAAATACTCATTCCGATGGCCATGCCGATGCCACATACCGATGCCTGCCCCCATAACGTTGAACCAGCAATTTCATTTAATTCAATTGAAGGCAATTTCTGATGGCTGCCATCCCCCACCAAACACACACTGACATCCAGGGCGTATACGCAATGTGTGTTAGGTTTGGTTTTCCGATTCTGTTTTTAGGATGGGTGTTTTTGGTGTTCGCTTTGGGGGTCTTGGGTTACCGCGTAGCCTTGCTTTGCATATCGAACAAAAAACAACTTCTTCAATTACCATTTTCCCTTTCGAATTTGTGGCTACACGAAGCTCCACTCTGCTCCACTCCACTCCGCTCCGTTGGATACCGCTGCCTGTTTCTGTTTTGGCGATTTGCATTACGCTTCGGATATGTGAACCAATCGACGAGCTGCGATCTCATTTATTCCGGTTGGTACATCAATGCTTCACGCCCAATTAGCCTAAAAGCCCAGAGAGTGCCCCGCGACCTGATGGGTAGGAAAGGTCGATTATCCATACAGCTGGTGGCCTAATGGTTTGTGTCGGGGCGGTGGTCATCAATGGTAAACACAACATTCGCATCGTCCCAGCGAAAGTGTATTACCATAATGAATTCCAGTTGCGACACTCGTCCGGTTCTGTTCTGTGTGTGCTCCTCCGTGCCTTTAGTAGTTTCGCTCTCTTTTTAACCGATTTCCTATTCAAATTATCCACACGATGTGGCTGCCCCCGGATGCAACACTTTGCCCCTTTGGCTGGCCCTGTCCGTGGGCCACAACCACCTCACAGGTGGTCGCCATGAATGGACTGTGGATGGAACTGCCGCCGCCTGGATATTACGATTGCATTCCGGGAAAGTCCGGTAGGTGCATGCAGGATTGTCCATTGGCTTCTTCTGTGGCAATTATCTGTAACAATTATTGGTTTTTTTTTACCCTCTGTGGCTGTCTGTGTGTGGCCCAGTTTTGTGGTGGGCGTTGACATTGAACGGTGGGGGACAGTGGCTAGTAGAAAGTGTATAGAAAGCAGTAGGGGTTGTCCATCCATCCATCCATTCCCCATGGCTGCTCTATAGCTTTTGTACGGTCGGGGGTCAATCATTAATGTTTCATGAACAGTCCACATTTCCATTTCACAAAGTCCGCGGTTGAAGTCAGTTTCGTTGTCTGTTGGTGGGTTTTCCAACCTTTACCGCCAGCTGCTACCCATTCTCGGTGTGCGCCTCCTGCATTTAGACATCAAAAAACCCCAAGCCACGGACCAACTGACACACTTGCCGGCAAAGGACCTCTGCGTGCGACGACACGAAAGACCAACCACAATTTAATGACCCACAAAAGTGAATTTGTGGCACAGCGCGGCGCGGGTGCACGAGAAAATGAATGGGAATTTTCCATTTTTCATTTAAATGCCAGGCATAATTGCTTTTTCCTGTAGCCACGTGAATGGAGGGGGGTGGTGGCAGGGCCTCACCGACAATTGCGAATGCAATTTGAACAAAAGGGAAATCCACTCTAAGAAGTGCAACCACACAGGATAAATGGAGAAATAACCTTGTGGCCGTTAGGAAGCGCGTGGAAAATAATGAGAGGGAAGCTTTTGACCTTCGAGGCTGTGGGCTGTCCATTTCATTCATTATTCATGCTCAGTTGTGTTCGTATTTAAATAGTTGTGCTTTTCTTGAGTTTCAACTTTAAGGAAAGTTTAAAGAAACTTTGAAGATAGTTTTGGTAGTCTTCCCGTATATATTTCCCTTTTTCCCAGTGCGGCTTAGCAGCAAGTGGTTGCATATGCTGTAAGAAAGCGCACTTCTTGCCCTTTCCCTCCCTTGCCGCTGAAGAACTCTGCTCGTCTCCTTTACTCTCGCGGTTCCTCTATATTCCAGTGTGGCTTAGCCTTCAAGGGTGGGTCCGTATGCGGAATATACTGAAAGAGAACTCCGAATTTCAAGCACTTCAACAACCTCCTTCTACTTCCTTTATACTTAAAAATCGCATTTCACATTTGAATGAATTCAATGTAAAAATCATTAAAACACAACTCAACTTTGCTTTAGCAAGAAAGACTATAATTAATTATATTGATAATACAACCAAACGCCAAACAATCTCAAGTACTTCTAATCCAAAACATATCATAATTACTTTGGCACTGATTCTTAGTAGCATTTAAAACGATTTTTTAATTAGCGAAAATCATTATCTAAAGCACTTCAATTATTCTGAAGAAATTCGAAAAAGGAGATCAAGAGATCAGCGGGGAACGATGACGGGAGTGTACAGGAGAATCCCAAAAAACCCAAAAAATCTGCTCAAGCATTGTTATTAAACTTTGGAAAAATATATATAAAATATTAAATGGAGTCCGATTGTAGAAATGAGTCATCATTTCAAATGGGGAAATACACAGAAATCGTAGGTTGAAAGAAAAAGAAAAGAAAAAAGAGCGCTGAAGAGTCGATTGAATGCAGTTTTTGTTAGCTAGAAAAATATTTAAGTAATTATTTTATATGTGAATGTTTGGGTACGGTATGTGGGTATGTGGGTACGGATTTTTTAGGGTTTTTAGCTTATATTTTTAACTTATTTTTTTTGACACAAATATTTTTGGGTATTTTAAGTTTGAGCTGGCAAAGTATTTTTGTTACTGTTATTTTGTATTCCTAGAATATTTTTCGAGTTTATGTTGCCCAAAGTTTACCTGAAGTTTGCGTACCTCGCACTTTAAGACCATAAAATCCCCCAAGAATGTTCCTCCCAGACCTCGGCTCCGCCGATGGCCTTGACCTTTTTTCCTTCTTGATAATTTTTATACTTGAACATAAAACATTGCCCTTTGGCTTTCTCTCTTTTCTGTATTTTCCCTCTTCGTGGCAGCAGCGCTCAGCATGCAAGCGGCGATGGACACGGCCGCCATGGCCATTGCCGTGGGCGTTGGTGGATCCTCCAGCTCTGGCCCAGGGAGCAGCAGCAGCAGTGGGAGCAGCAGCAGCAGTGGCTATGGCAGTGCCACGACCACGCCCACAACGCCAATGGGCAGCGGTGGAGGAGGAGGAGGAGGAGGGGGACACTATGAGGCCTCACCCACATCCATGCCAATGGCAACGATAGCCACAGTGGCGCCGTTCTACAGCGAGGCACTTACCTCGCTGGATGCACAGCAGCGGCAGCAACAACAGCAGCAGCAGCAGCAGCAACACCTGCAACAGCAACAGCAGCAGCAGCAGCAGAATCAATCTCACTTTTATCATCAGAATTATGGCTATGGGAATAGTCTGCCCTTGAGCGCACCACTGGATGCGGCAGCCTACAATGCGTACAGTGGGGCATACAATGCGTACAGCAGTGGGGCAGCAGCCAGCAGCAGCGGCAGCGGCAGCAACAGCAGCTATCAGGGTGGGGCACGCTACGAGAAGCTGGCACCCAGTTCGGGCTCAAAGTACAGCGCTGGAAATGCAGCCATCGGTGTAGCAACTGCAGGAGGAGCAGGAATGAAGCCCCAAGCGGCAGCCACGCCCTTCTACGCTCAACCCTTGGGGCAGGCAGGAGGCAGTGCAATTGGAGGCGGAGGACCCTACATGATGAACACAAATAATCCGTATGATCCGTACAAGTACAAGATGCCCGCCCAAGCGGCAGCGCCACCACCGCAGACACTTCAATCCATGGTGCAAGCGTCCAACCAGCCGACGGCAGCCGTGGGACAGCCTCAATACGGACACGGACTGGCCATGAATCCCAGCCAGAAGCAGCAGCAGCAACAGCAGCAGATGCAAGTGCAACAGCAGCAGCAACAGTTCACGCAGCTGGAGGCCAATTATGCGGCCATAAAACCGAGCAGTCGCTACCAGAGCATGCCGCCGTCTCAGGTGCCCTATGGGGCAGCTCCTCCTGGTGCAACCTCCGCCTCGGGTGGCATGCCAGGCAATGCCACAGGCACGCCCTACTACGACAAGTACGGAGTGATGCCCATGCCGCCCATGTACACCTCGAATGGCGGACTGCCGCCAATGTACACGCCGCCGGAGCTGGTGGGGGAGTCGGCGTACCGAAAGTCGGGGAGCAGCTGCCACTGGAGCGTGGACTACAATGCGGCCAATTGTCGAACTCTGCCGCCGGTAGCTGCCGCACCCAGCAGCTCCTATCATCATCCGCACCCAGGCGGAGTGCCAGGCGGAGGAGGAGCACCACCAGGAGCGCTCCCGCCCAGCAATGAGATGTACTACGGCGCCGGAAAGTTCGACAAGTATGGGAATCCTGTGACAAATCCTTATACCAACAATCCGTATGCCACGAGCATGGGGCAGCCGCCGTATGGCGCAGCCGCGGGACGTAACATGTGGACGGAGACTCCCGCGCAGCCCAATCCCCGCCAGAATTGCTGCTCCCAGGCGGCATATCCTCAGCAGAGTTGCTACTATCCAAGAGGAAATGGACCAGCACCCCAGCAGCAGCAACAGCAGCCGCAGTATCCGGTCAGTGGCACCACAAAGCTGAAGCATCCGTTAACCTCTGACCTGTACGCGCCCTACGACCCCGCACCACCGCCCACGCAGCTGGGCTATGGCTATGGCACGAGCCAACAGGTGGGTGGAGCCACAGCCAGCAATATAAATCCCAATCAGCGATATGTGGCGCAACCACTGAACATGGGAATGGGCATGGGCATGGGGATGAGCATGGGAATGGGCATGGGCATGGGCATGGGAATGGATCCCAGCATGAGCAGTGGAGGCAGCGGCAACTACTACAACGATCTCAATCTAAATCTAAATAGTCTGGAGAGCTATGTGCCACAGGTGCCGCCACAGATGCAGCCACAGCAGACGCATCGCGGCCCCTACCAGGAGTACCGCAAGAGGTCTGCCCCTGCATCGGCAGCAGGCAACTGCTACCTAGGACAGCAGGGCGCCAGTGCAGCGGGTCCACTCAATGGAGCACTCAACAATTTGGAGGCACATGTGGACAGTTATGTGGGCTACAATCTGCATGCCACAACCTCGAACTCTCACTACAGCATGGAGCCCGCGAAGACTTCCCCGCAAACGTGCAACATTCGGGATTTTTTGGCCACATGGAACGATGATGAGGATGAGGCTGCAGCGGAACCACAGACCACAGCTGTGGCTTTGGTGGCGCCAACTGTGACACCCAATTTCATGTACGAATCTCTGCCGCCGAGTGGCCCACAGGCCACAGCTGTTCCAGTGGATCATCAGGCAGCGGCGAGCATCAATCTCCCAGACATCATTATAGACATTGAAAAGGCTTCGAATGGGACAGGCATCGTGCCCGCCGGTGTGGATTCCTTTGGCTGCTTTGATGTCGAGAAGGAGCTGGACGAGCTGCGGCTAAAGACGTGTCCCGCGGATGCACTGGAGGAGATGTTTCGCGAGGAAGAGACAGCCGCGCCTGTTCTTGTTGCTCCTGCTGCTGTGGCGGATCCTTTTCCAGTGGAAGCTCCTCCTGTGGCAACTCTAGAGCTAGCTCTCTCCACTGACCTGCTGCAGAGTGAAGCAGACATCATTCCGGTTGTGGAGGAGCCACCAACCACACTGGACTTTGACGCTAACAACAGCTCCAATTCGAATGAGTCAACCTTTGCCAAGGAATACGAGACATTCATACACAAGATCGAGGGCAGTGAGAGCGAAACGGAGGAGACGGATGCCCAAGATGACAGCGAGTATCGCGAGCATGCGAAGCGTTTCAAGTTCTACAAGAGAAAGCGCAAGAGCACGGAGCCACAGGAGCCACAGGAGCAGCAGCAACAAGGGGAAGATCAGCAGAAACTGGAACAGCAGCTGCAGCAGGAACCACTTCTGCCAAGTCCCAAGCCCATCACACTCTCCCCACAGAAGCTGCTCGCCAGGCGTCGACGCAATCGCATCAAGATGCTCAAGATACTGGAATTCGAAAGTCCCAAACTCAAGTATCGGCATTACTTCAAGGCGCTGAAACTTCTGCGCAAGCGCTACGCCAGCAGCCGGACGCGTGAGCAACGCAGGACCCTCATGCGACGACACTTGGCACTGTGTAAGGAGCGTCGCCTGCCGCCCATTAAGCGATTGATCAGGAAGTACGCCGAGGGCTCAAAAAGGAACGAGAGAGCGCAGCGCTATAATCCCCCAAGCCTCAAGGGGCTGAGTGTTTCCGCTTTGAACACGAAAGCTTTTAGGAACAGCCTGATGCAGTCCTCGGGCCGGGAGACGGTCATCAAGAGCGGTTACGCGCTACAGAAGAAGACTGAAGAGGAGATCGAGGATGGCGAACTACAGACAGCGGAGGGAGAGGAGGAGAACACCATGCAGTCCGTCGAGTTGTTGCCCAACTTCAAGGGATTCGATGACATTGAGAACACAAATCTATCGCCGCAGGCAAAGCTGCGCGTGGAGCCTGAGGAGGCGCAGGAGAAGGTGCAGGCACAGTCCACAGTGGCGGAAGTAACCAAAGCCAAGGAGCGGGAGATTCAGGCGTGGCTCAGGAACAACAGCATGGAGGAGGAAGTGGAGGAAGAAGAGAAGCTCCAGACTCCAGAAGAGCCCAAAGCGATGCCAATTGTTGTTGCTGCATCTCCAGCGCCATCCTCTTCTTCCTCGTCATCAACATCGAGCTCGAGTTCCAGCTCTAGTTCCAGCTCTGAGGATGACAAGGATTCAACTAGCAGCAGCAGCCAGGAGGAGGACTCTTCCTCCAGCAGTAGCAGCAGCAGCAACTCCACCGTGGCCGAGGCCGCAGAGACCGCCGAGGAGAGCGACTTCAATGAGATGGCGGCACTGGAGAGGGAACTCTCCCAGTCGCAGATTCTCGAACCAGCAGCAAAGCCAGCGGCAGCCATAATGGAGGCACAGCCCATGCAGGAGGAGGAAGTACTCGCCGTGGCCACGCCCATGGAGGAGATATCCAACAATGATATTGCCAAGCTGAAGCAGATACTGGAGAGCGATGGCGAGGAGCAGCCGACACTGCGGAGTCAGTCTCAGTCCCCAAATGAAACACCAACCCAAAGCCCTGCCCAAAGCCCTTCCTCATCCCCAAACCCATTCCCTTTCTCCTGCATCGTACCAAAGCTAAGTGACCTTAGTAAAATTGCCTTAAATAGTTCCTTAATAACTAGAGAATTAGAGTTAAGACCAAGCGGGGATCCAGAGGAATCCCTGCAAGCCTTTGAGCCGGCTTCAGAGGATAGACGCCAGGCAGCGGAACGAGAGATGTCCCCTTTTAAAGCAACCGAATCACAGTTCCCTGAGGATCCCCCCGAATCACAGATCCCTGAGAAAGAACACCAAACCCAGAACCCTGTGGAAGAACCCAAATCCCAGCAGCCTGCACAGGTGGAAGAGGATTCCCTGCCCGCTTCTGAGCAGCCTCCAACACCACGTGAACTAAGCGTTGAGGATGCCCTGGCGGAGATGTATCAGCAGATAGGCGTCGCCTCCGATCCTGAGGACTTTGAGGGCGACAAGGATGCCGAGACAGAAGCGAATGCGAATGGGCAGGACATGCTGCTGATCAATCTGGCAGAGATATTTGATACCAGCAGCGATCTGTATGTGGTGCAGTGCGACATGAATGAGAACATACTGGGAGTTGTGGCCAGCGAGCAGGAGGAGGAGAATGCGGAGCAGCCGGATCGCAGCCAGGAGGAGGCGCTGCAGCTCATACAACTGCTGGCCGAGCCACAGCCCGAGTTGATACACCACGAGGAGATCATTCCCGACAGGCAGACAGCAATGCGGCAGCGTCGTCGCGAGTTCTTGAAGTATTTACATGTGAAGTACGCGCAGATTCCCATAGGGAGATTCCACCATGCTCAGCGTATAGTCAGGAAGTACAAGCGAAGGAGAGGGGCAGGAGCAGCAGCAGGAAAGCAGCGGGAGTCCAGCTTCTACCAAAGATAGATAGAGAGGATCACAACAGATCACGCAGAGATCAGAGATCGTTTAGCCCCTGGAAGCCATTGGGGCGTGACGAAAGAACCATCAGGCGTGCCTAAATGGATACTAAATACGATCCATAAATACACACACACCACACACACACACATAATATAGTTATAGTTATACATAATGTATCTGTTGGATAAACATTTCTAGAATCTCAAGACTTGGTTATATATTTTGGATTTGCTTTAGGAACGATAGCAACGTTTGATAGCAGAATAATAGCAGAATAATTGTAATTAATTTAGGTATAAAAATAGATATTAGCTTTAGATATTATATATTTTGGAAAACTGTGCAATATTTTACACTGAAACAACTTTTCGTGTTTCAAATGCATAATTATAACAAACAAAAAATATTGTAACTAAAGTGCGCGAATTCGAATCTCGATGTGAGTTTTTTGTAGGGATGAGTAAGCAAAGTTAATCGTTTGGGGGCTTAGAATGGGTTCGGTTCTGGGTTCGCGTGCAATTAACAAGAGCTACAGACATATATGTACGAGTATCTGTTGTATGTTATCGGACAATGTATCAGCATTTTTAGTCACTGAGTGGCTGAGCAATTTTAAAACGCTTTCCGACTAAAGGTCAGATCCCCCGCAGATTGAGGGACATGACGATAAATGCCCGGCACTTGCGTGTTTTGCTACATGGAACCCAGAAAACCTTGCCCCCTCCTAGCACCCAGTTTTGACTCTGTTATTCTCTTAGCCACCAAAAAAAATATATGCAGCCTAGACCAAAAATTTTAGTAAAATGTAAACCATAAATATCTGTGGTTTGGGTATCGTTTTGAACTGTTAGATCTTAGACTTAAAGACTTGTTTTGTTTGTAGTGCAATTGTTTGTTGGGTTCCTACTATCAGGATCGTGTTAAGCGTTCACCTAAAACACTCTTAAACACAAACACACACAGACACATTTTTATAAGCCAGCAGTTCCAGGTGGACGTGGTGTGGAATTTGCATAAACCAGAAGAATATTTAAATGCAACTAATCTGCAGGAAAATTGGCATTTGAAACGCTCATTTATGTAAGATGCGGAAAGGTTGCGGAAAGCACACCTCAAGGGCATAAACCGAACTGACCGAGAGGCGACGCTGCATGACACGTTTACCATGCGGAAATGTCTGACAGTCTGCAGTCTTTTATACGCATATTAAACATCAAACTGCTGGCTCTAGTTTTAGGCAACTAAACACATCTATCAATCAATCTATCTATTTATCAATTGAAAAGTAATCCACCTAGATGTCTTTTATCACTCACTTGTAACACATTCCAAAGGACCAAAAAATATACACCTCTTATACAAAAATATAAACCCAAATGTAACTAAATAAATCTTACGTATAAACTAGCCTCGATTTTTAAGTGCATTCTAGAAACTTTTAATATACATTATAAAAATCTATTTGTAAATGTATTTTTATTCGTTTTTATATAATACGCTTAATTTTAGTACAAAACAAAAGCAAAATCAAATGCAAAATGCAAAATGCTAGCCCACTAAATGTTATATTAATAATAATGCTATTTATTATGGAATAATTGTACATAGTCCCAGACCCTAACCCACATTCGATCTAGATGTTCGCCCTTTTGCCACACACAGTCCCCTTACACTTGCTATATCCATAGCTATATAGAGCTATAGCTGTAATATCTGAACGGGTTTTTGCAATTTACTTTAGTCTTAAGATTTGTGACTTTATATAAATGTGAGTGTCTTTGAGCAAAAACAAAAACAACAACAACAAAATCAAAAGGAATTACGATAAATGAAATACGAAAAATCCTAAAAAGAGAGAAATAAATGTTTTATGTAAATGTTAATGGAGTGCCTGATTTATTTCTGGAAGGGATCTTGGGGTTTCTCTAATGTTTAAGGGAATCTGTCACGAATAATGCAAAGGAAAATGTGGATTGTATACGAAATCGAAAGACGAAGAAAATCTTTTATGTAACAGTTGATGCATCGAATTGATTTGATCTTGGGCTCTTGGATCTTATTGGGGCATTGAGGTGGAACGGCTGCACCATCAGGCGTTTCTGCATTTCCAGAGCTAATATGAAGAAGATAGGGAGCAGTTCCTATTTGTTTTTTCCTTTCGATTTAGATACTCCATTTAATGCTTCTGCTGTATTCAAATCTGCAGTAATCTTTGCTAAAATGTTTAATCTTCAAGCGAAAATGGATAAGGAAATAAATAATGAAACGAATCGATTCGCTACTTGCTCTTTCCTCTAGTTACAGCAACCCAAGAGATGAAATATAAGTCGCAACTCTTGGCGAGTTCCACTATTGTACAGAAATATTGCAATTTATTTGTTTGTAGAATTAAAAAAGAACAGCACAGTTCACAAATCTAGAATTTGCAGGCTAAAAGTAAAAAACCAACTCTGTTTTTTGGGGTGTTTTAGGTTCGAGTCAAGTAACGTTCCAGGTGGATCGTGTTCATCGCTTGAACTCTAACTTTGGTTTCGTTTCGTTTTGTGCTCTCCAACGAGGGCTCTTTGGTCTCTCTGTCTCTCTGTCTGCTTTGAAGGCTCCACTCTGCAGTCTCCATAGTAATATCAGCTCTGAGTCCCTTCTTCCTTGCTGATCCTCGCTGCCGAGTGGTTGCCCTACTCGTAGCTATCGAAGTAGCGCTTTTTCAGATCAGGCGGATACGTGACATAGATGTAGTGCTCATTCTGTCCCAGTCCCGCCTCGTTCTGCACAATCTCCTGGTTGGAGGAGGAGGCGCGCAGCGATTGCTGCGAGGAGCCCACATGCCGATGACGCGTATCCAGGGGACGTGGATGCGTGTTGTAGTGGCGCTGCTGGCCCTCACCTCCGATGCCAGAGGCGGATGCACTGCTCACCACACTGGTGGCCATGGGTCTGCCAGTGCTACTTGTATAGTCGCGTCGGTCTAAAATGTCCTGTGGGTAGCCCAGGCTCGTCGAATGGCGATGCTGCAGATGCGGATGCTGTTGCTGCTGCTGTTGATGCTGTTGCTGCTGATGCTGGAGCGGATGATGGTGCAGTGGCGTATTGGCGTTGGAGGAGGACGATACCACCACTTGGCGTACGCCCCCGGCTGTGGGTGTGCCCTGTCCCTGACCCTGACCCTGACCCACTTGACGCGGATCGGCGATGTAGTGACGCGGACTGTGCCGATGATATTGCACTGTTTCGGGGTACAAATCTCGAGCGGCTGCCGCTTGCTGTTGCTGCTGCTGCTGTTGCTGGTAGTAGTACTGCTGCTGCTGCTGTTGCTGCTGCTCCATCTCCAGCTCCAGCTGCTGATCCGCTGTCAGACCAGGTATCCCGCCGGCGTCCAGGTCGAGGTCGTGTCGCGTCGCATAATCGACATGGTAATGATGGTGGGCACCGGGCATGTAGATGCTGCTGCTGCCGCTGCTGTGCATGCCGCCGATTCCGTGTCCCGGCGCGTAGTGATTGTTGGCATTGATTGTCGTCTCTTCGGAGCTGAAACAAATGACTTGGGTTCGATCAACCTCAATGGGAGAGATGGCACAGCCTCGTGGCCGAGGCCCGAAGTGAAAACTTACTCGAAAAGTATCCAAATGATGTAATAACAAAAGCAAATGCCAGTCGATAGCACAAAAATTAGTATGACAATGAGGCCCCAGGGAAAGGCACGCGGCTCCAAGGGACCATCCTCCCAATAACGATCGCAGGTGAGGTACCAGCAAACGGCTTTGTTCATCTCCTCTGTGACCAAAAAGAGAGCAGAGATTAATGGATTGCTGACTGTTGGGTGCAGACTGTTTGTACCTTCCATCTCCTTGAAGGCCTGATCGGACATGGACAGCAGCAATCCTCCTATGCAGCTCCTCAGCAGCAATTCGCAGCGAGTCTTCAGTTTGCTCAGCTCCTCGGGCTTGCAGTTGGCTCTGGCCTTGACGCCATTGCCGTTGCCTGAGCCCTCCTCCATTTTGGCTGAATCCTGCTGGCCACTGGCCTCTGCATCGTCACCGCTTTGCTCCTCCTCTTCCTCTGTTTCGTTTAGCTTTGTTTCGGCGTCAGGCTCTGTGGAGTCGCCGCCGCCGCGCTTGAGGCCCAGCTCCTTGAGTTTATTCAGCAGCTTCTCACCAGCGGACTTGGGCCTGGCCGCTGAGCCATCCTCTCCTGCTGGATCTAAGCGTAAAGGGTTGACTGACAAGTGCCAAGGGGTGTGGATATGGGTAGGGGGATGTGGATGGATTTGGGGTTTGAGTGCTTACCTGCCGGCGTTTGCTGCTCCTTGCTGCTGCTGCTGCTCGACGACTGGATTGGCTTGTCTTGGAGTAATTGACGGTTTTGTACTTTGGCGGCACGCGAGGCACCCAATGTGGAAGTTCTGTAGCGGAAATCAAATGAGAAATGAGACACTCAAAGGCTCCTACGAACGCACCTTGGTATTAAGCTCAAGTATGCGGCATTCGCTTTGGCCAATGCGGAATTCTGGCCCAGTGAATCGCCCCAGACTTCAATGTCCGTGACAATGTGATCCCCAAACTTGAGGCTATTGGCATCCTCCGTTTCGAACACCTCGCAGCGCATAATGTCACAGAAGTCGGCCAGACAAATGGAGTCCATTGCCTCATTGATGATCGTCTTGTGGCGTGTGTCAAAGTGCAAATCCAAATGGCGCTCCTGATAGAAGCTCTTGCCACAGCGACGACACGTCCACTGGGTGGGGCGATCACGTTGCTTGGCATCTTGGCGCGGGGCAAAGACATCCCGAAATGGATGCAGCGGGCACTCCAAAGGGAGCTTGACCTGAAGGAAAGGAATATAATAGTTAAGGGAGCAAAGCAGTGAGGATTTGGCTTCTGCTCACCTGATGCTTATCCAATATGGGGGTCCATTTGGAGCGCACTATTTTGCGCACCAGCCGGCTGTTATCACGCGAGCACAAAATCTTGATGACATTCGTGGGCGGCCATGGTATCAGCAGCAGAAAGTAGACCAGTGCAATCTGTGTTGGGGGGTAAAAAGTGAACTTTGGTTGATGAAAGTGTACAATGAACTCGGTATTAAGGACACGCAACTTGCCGGCACCGCCGACCGTACCCAGTCACAACTCTCCAACCCTTAGAGCCTGTTTTTTTTTTGGGTCACTTAAAGTAACAGGGACACAACCCCGCAGGCCGCAGAAAATCGATAAAAGAGTGTGTGTGGCAGGGGGGGGGGCAGTTTTTGGTTGCGTCTTCACGGCATAGCCCCCACTCCGACCGAAATGGAATGGACAACTCACCTCGAAATGATGATATTTAGGCGACATTCATACTATGTATTTATGGTCGCTTGCTATGCTGTGCTGTGGGTTTTTGTTGTTGTTGTGTCGCAGGAGTTAGGAATTTTGGTTGCAATAAGTCGTTTCAGGTTCAGGCGTTGCTTTTTCAGGTTATGTTTTGCAGGACACCTGAAACGGTTGCCTTAAAAATGATTCCTTCGCTGGCCACACTTTAAGGTAGCTCTGGATATACTCTTCTTTGTGCAGATTACTTCTGGTTTTCTTTAGGTTCGGTTTCCCTATAAATAAAAAAAAATACGCCTGATTCGAGCCTGTTCTACGTCCGCACTGCTGAAAATTTGCTCTCTGAAAGCTGAGTTATTGCTTCCTGTAGCCGCTCGCTCTTTCGATCTCTCTCCCGTTTACCGTTGTCCTGCGCCGCCTATCGACAGCTGTTGGCAGGCTTACATTCTAAAACTTTGCTACTGAATAATACTAAATACTCAAAGAAGTCGTTGTTGTCAGTCGTGGCACAGGTCTGGCAACACTAGGAATAACCGGTCTTAAATTTAAGTATTTAAAAATTTCAATTGGATGATTTATTTACACCATAAAACATATTGGAGCTCTGATCAAGATTTCGTGCACACCAGAATACTGAGTTTTTGTGATTCAAGCTGTTTGGTTCAGCAATGTGAAGTGATTGGCAGTGTAAATTGCCACCAACGAAATATCATCCAGCCTTTATTTCACGCTTACTCCAACAGGTGGCGCCACTGGACAAGAAGAAGTATACTATACTATTTGGTTAGTGGTGAGATGCAGACAGTGAGCGCAATTCAGTGTGGCAGACACAAGTAATAGTTTTTTGCATTATGCCCATAACATTAATCCGACGGTAACCAAATTCTAGAATCTAGTAGTAAGGATATTTCTTCTTTTGGAATCTAGTATACCCCTTAATATTCTCTATTAATTAGAGGGCTTAAAAATCCCAAATATAATTTAAATCTGTTTGTGTGTTTATTTTTTGTGGTTGGTTTGGTTGTCCTGCGATTCCGTTTTGGTTGTAGAGAGCAGGAACTGCAAATAGTTAGCCATTTGCTATTTTACAAATTTCTAAACTAAAATTAAATTGATTTATCGCACAACTTTCTGGAACAAAGTCATAATATTTAAGTGGGCGTTTTCCGAACCGAAATCGCATAGTTTTGGGCAATTAAATACTAGGGTACAGCCGGAGAGCGATCAATCCCTAAAAATTTGGGGCGGGATTCACAGACCATTGTAGACGCGATTGATGGACGATTGGTCGAGTATTTTCTTGAGCGCTGAAAGAGAAAATGAAAAGGGATTAGTACGGGCTAAGATACTGAGCCTGCTCGACCACTCACCTTCCTTGTCCTCTTCAGTCAGATCCTTCTTGGGGAACTCCACATCGAAGGTGATGTACAGAAAGCCAAACAGATTGTTGTTCTCAAAGTTGGGCATGCCCTCGCCCTTCTTGCGGATGCGTGCTCCCGGCCACGTTATTTTCTCGCGCATCACCGACACCAGATGGCCGTCCAAGTGCTTGATGTCCATGCTGAAGCCCATGAGGGCATCCTGCAGACTAATGGTCACATTCGTGTACAGATCGTCGCCCTTGCGCTGGAATCGCGGATGGGGCATCTGCTGCACACGCACCAGCAGGTCTCCAGGTTCGCCATCAATGTGGGGCTCTCCCTCAGCCACGAAGCGCGTCTCCTGGCCATCGACCATGCCCTGCTCCACCTCAATCTCGAGCGTGCGCTCCTCGTTGACCAGCTTTACGTTGGGGCACTCGTCGCAGACGGTCTGCTGGATCATTTGGAAGCGGCCCGGGCCTAGATTTCTGGTGACCATCTCCTGACGGCAATTGCACTTGCGTGTGCCCGAGGCGGGCTTCATCACCGGCTTGTTCCGCACAATCTCTACAAAGTTTCCAGAGTAAAGCTCCTCCAGCGACACGTACATGCTCATCACGATGTCCGCCCCACGCAGCGTATCCTGTTGGTGCTGATCTCCATTACCAAAGGGGAAGCCAAAGTCACCGAAGAAGCTGGCGAACGGATCGCCGCCATGGTCCATCATTCCCTCCTTCTTCAGGCAGTCCTCGCCGCAGCGGTCGTAGGTCTTCCGCTTGTCGGCGTTTGATAGCACCTCGTAGGCGGCGCCCAGATCCTGGAACTTGGTCGACGCACTCGGATCGTCCTTGTTCTTATCCGGATGCAGCTCCTTGGCCAGCCGGCGGTACGCCTTCTTAATTTCGTTTGTGTTGGCATTGCGCTGCACATTCAGAATTTTGTAAAAGTCCCGTCCGGCGAGTGCCACGTCCACCAGGAGCACAGCCAGCTGCACCAGCAGCAAGCTTTTGATTAGCTGCATTCTGTTTATGTTGGTTTTGCCGATTTCTCTTAGTTTAACAAATGTAATTCATACTTTTTTAACTAGAACTTTGCTGGCAAAATTTTGTCGTCGACGCTAGCTACGTTTGTGTGTGTGCGTCGTGGTCGGCGTTGATTGGCTGTTGTTTCTGCGAGATTAACAGCTGATATTTAACCCATTAAGAAGTGTTGGTGGGTATTTCGATTAGCGCACAAATGTACCCGCGGACATGTTAGTTATTTACTAATTTCAGGTGGAAGATATCGTGGTAATAATTGGTTTGACTAAAGAGGAAGGATGGACCTACAAGGAGGATTATTTTCTGCAGTTAAACAGGCATTAACTTGTTTAAAACGAGCGGTGCTAAGGGTGTTAAGTTTGAGTATATTTTCAGTATATTTGCGGTATATTTTGAAATGAGTGGTCTTATTTCTGTATATGTTATCGATAAATCCGCTAAATGTTAAGCCAAACAAATTGTTAATCCAATTAAAGATTTGCAAAAAAAAAAACAGTGGACAGCGGGATTTGACACTCGCTGCAGCTCTTGCCATTAGTTCTGTTGAGATTCGGTCGGTTTTGCTAATACCTCAGTGCCTTATAGCCAGTGTTTGCCATTTGTTTACAGCTACTGCGCCTTGCTCAGGTAAACATTTTTGTTATTTGTTGCCTTCTGCTTGAGTTATAAACATATTAAACGGTATTTTTGCAGCATATTTGGTCATCCATTAACCCACATTTATTGGCAGCTTACTTGCATAATTAAAGTCAAGGTCAACAGCAGCAGAAGTCACGACCCTTACCTTACCTTACGTTTGTGTGCGCGAGAAAAAGGTGAGTAATGCCAATGCAATACAAAATCTACTTATGTAGCAAGTAATAATACATACACATGTTAATTAGGTGTAGAGAGATTACCCCTTGGCATGAGATCAACCTGATTCAGCAGGCGAGTCACGGCCCTGAACAGCTATTGAGCTGGTGGAGCCGGTCATTGAACAGAACAGAGCAGAAAGGCATAATCCAGTTCTCCAGCCGGAACGGAGTATGATTATCTGCACCCGCGCTTCCATTCTAGTTTTGCATATGTCTGCGTTTTCGTTATCAGCCAAGAACAAAGCGGAGTACGAGTCCGATTGCATAGCCCCAATAACCCGGTCTGAGTCAGTCCAGTACGTGCACAAAACAAAGGCAGTAAGGCAGCAAAAGAATGTGATATGCAATTGGGACTTTTGATACAAAGAGAACAGGCCCCATTTTCTATTACAACTCGGAGCGTTCACAGCTGGACTGCTAGAAGTAATCTACATAAAAATCGCAGTACAAATGCTCTGCCCGCCTGCCAGTAGATATCTCCAATGGCTTATCTTATCGCTGCCATAAATAGGAACCCCTTGTGCGTGCATCTGATCATTAGAAATCTACGCAATTAGCCAAGAGCTAGCCTCAAACATCACTTATCCCATGTAATTGTCAGATAAGAAATGTTGCAAGCAAGCTCATATCCATTCCAGCCGTGAATGTTAAGTCTTGACCGTCATATTAGGCGCACACTGTGCTGTGATTAGCCAAATCCAAAGATTAACCATTGAGCGGAATAGGAAACTTCAAGTGGAACAACTTAAAAACACTAATCGGTAGCGCTGGCAAACAGTTTCGCTTTGTCTGCGTTAGCGTGCGGTCCAGTAGGGTTCCTGGTCCTACTCCGTTGCCCAAAAATTGTGATAAACCCACTCTTCAGTTCGACAGTTCGTAAGTTTCTATCAGATCAGTGCACACCCCAAACACTCTTTCAAACAAGACATTTTGCGGATGTCTGCACTTGAAACACACTCCAATTCGCGCGTTGACATGGACTGGCGCCCGTAATCTCTGTTGGGGCATGTCATAGTGGGTGCACCGAATTCAAATTGGGATTGGAACTTAATCGTAGATGCTTATCGAATGCTTAAGTATGGCAAAAAAACATACAGAGCGATAAGCCACCGGTTGTCCATTATTAATAGCTCTGCAGGGGTTAGGCTGAACGTCAATAAGCGAATAAAAATTCTACCGATAGCCAGCACCCCCCGTTCGATACGGTTTATTGACATAGATTATGCAAGCGAAAATAGCCTCAATGAAATTCCACTCAATCACTTTCCAGATGCAACCCAGCAGCGCCTAGGCCAGCGTACTTGTACTTTTACCTTCTCCTTCCGTGAATCTTTGACTGCTTAACGTTCAACATGTGCTTCAAGTGCTGCGGTGAAACTCAGCGCAAAGCCTGGGTCTTTGGCCTGGGCTCGCTCTTCATGCTGTTGGGCATTCTAATCGTGGTCTTTTGGCCCGGATTGGCTGACAATCTAGTGGAGGATGTAAGTAAAACTTTCACTCTCTCAGATCCTCTAATAACATTTCTGCTTTAGGGTCTCAAACTGAAGCCCGGCACCGACACCTACGACAGCTGGCTGGAGGCTCCGATTCCCATTTATCTCAGCTTTAACATGTTCAACTGGACGAATCCCGAAGAGATACGCAATCCGAATGTCAAGCCCAACTTTGTGGAGATGGGCCCGTATGTGTTCCTCGAGAAACACAAGAAGGAGAACTTCACCTTCTTCGAGAATGCCACAGTGGCGTACTACGAGCGTCGCACTTGGTTCTTTGATGCGGAAAAGTCGAATGGCACGCTGGATGATATGGTGACAGCTGCGCATGCCATCACCGCCACGGTGGCGGACGAGATGCGGCACCAGAACAAGATCGTGAAGAAAATCATCAACTTTATGCTGAACCATGAGGGCGGCGAGCTGTACACGACGAAGCCCGTGGGCGAGTGGATCTTCGATGGCTATCAGGACAATCTCACGGACTTCCTGAATCTGTTCAACACATCCGTGATTGATATTCCTTACAAGCGCTTTGGCTGGCTGGCGGATCGTAATGAATCGTTAACCTACGATGGACTCTTCACCATTCACACGGGCACCGACAACATCGCCAATGTGGGCAAGCTGACTCACTGGAATGGCAAGGCGGAGACTGGCTTCTATGACATGCCCTGCGGCGTTGTGAACGGCACCACTGGGGATCTATTTGCGCCCAAGATGAATGTCAAGGAAGAGATCACCATCTTTGCCACCGATGCGTGTCGCTTCATGAACCTCAGGCCGGAGGGCACGCTCGAGAATCACGGCCTGACTGCCACACGCTGGGTGGGCACTGAGGAGACTCTCGACTCTGGCGAGAATTATCCGAATCAGGCCTGCTTCTGTGATCCCCGTCTAGAGGAGTGCCCCAAGACGGGTGTGGTCGAGTGCAAGGCCTGTCGCGACAAGGCGCCTATTTACTCCTCCTTTCCGCACTTTTACCTCGCGGACAAGCACTATCTGGATGCGATTACCGGCATGAATCCGGATAAGGCGAAGCACGAGTTCATCATGGCCATAGAGCCCACCACGGGTGTGCCCGTTCAGGTGCATGGACGCATTCAGATCAATATGATGATTGAGCCCGACAACGATTACGAGTGAGTGCTGAAGTCGATATATTAATTGATATTTGTTCTATAAATTATTTGGCATTGCAGCATCTATCGAGGAGTTCCCAAAGTGCTGATGCCCATGTTCTGGTTTGATCAGTACGCAGAGCTCTCGCCGGAGTTGGCTTCCAAGGCTAAGGTATGGATAAAGACGCTGCCAACATAACTTTTTATTGATCTTTGATTTCCCTTACAGTTGGCCATAAATCTATCCTCCTATGGCATCATCTTTGGCTATTCCCTGGTGGGTCTTGCCAGTCTCTTCATCATCACAGGCGTCACACTGACGCTGACCAAGCGTTGGGTGCGCCGGGACGAGGACGAGGCTATGCTGACCAACTGAGGAAAGCCCCAGGTCGTAGTTATTATTAATAGTAGCCAAAGTGCCAAGGAGACAAATTGTAACACTCCTAGTTCATTCTGATAGTCGCATCGTTTGTTGTTACGCGTTATATATGTTATGTAACTGATAATCGCCGGCAGTCGCCTCAACATTCGTCTTGCATTTTGTGATAGCAAATCCTTAAACCTTAACCCCTTAACTCCTTAACTCTTAATCTATACCTTAACACCACACACCCCTCCACACATAACAGAGATTATCTTCCACAACACTTAAAGATTCCATTGTGAATTTTTTTCATTTTTTATTTCGCAAACATAATTTTTACAACTCTTTTGTTTAAATCAAGGACTTTGTTTTTTATTTTCTTTACTTATCGTATACGATTGTTGGATGCTTCAACGATTTTTTTAACGCTTTATAAATGCATTAATTGAATGTTTTTGTTGTTGTGTTGTAAAAATAATAAATTAAAATAATTGTATATGTATATATATATATATAATGTTTTTTTATATATATATGTAAGATATATGGCAAAAATTTTTACATTTTCTTAAAAATCACATTACTCAATTTAGCCATAGACTTTTAGTCGAGAAAAATCTACGCAAATATTTGTGACATCCGTCGAAAAACTCAATCATTTTTGCACACACACACATTCTCTCAGAGGGTTGTTTGTTAAACGACAAAAAGATAATAATAATAAAATAAAAACACAAAAAATGGATACAAAAAATATATAGAACACGTTCGTTCTTTATCTTTCACTAGCTAAATTCAGATACGGTGGGTGTGAGCGGTTGTTGGGGGTTTGGGCAAGTCTGGGCACTCTTGAAATTCTTTAGTTCCTTACGTCCAGCGAATGTCCAGCATGTGGATCATTCGTTGGAACCGATTCGTTGTGGGTATAATGTGTGTGAGTGGGGTGGGGGTGGGTCGTGAGGTTGGGCGATTCTACGTACTAAAAAATTTGCATAGTTTTTTGTTTCGTTTTTTGTTGCATTCGATGTTGTTGTTTTGTTCTTGTTGACTGACTAAAGTAGTTTTTAAAATGTAGTTAAGTTTAAAGTTAAAAAAATCAAATCACAGTTGTTTGGGCGGAAGTAGTTTAGTTAGTGTAAAAGTATTCGCATCTGGCCTAAGTTGCAGCTACTAAGACTATAATGTATTAAGCATTTTATTAAGTAGTTGTCGTATTTTATACTTGAGTATTGTTTCCGTTTCTCATTTCTCATAGTTAATATAGTGGTGCTTCTCGCTCTCACTCTCTCTCTCTCTCTATCTCTCTCTCTGGTTTTTTTGTTTTCTTGTCATTCTCTGTATGGTTTTGTCTCTGTCCCCTCTTCTACGTGTGACTAGACTGGGTTCTGTTATTTGAATGCGTTGATCTTGAGGTTCTTACGTTATGTCGCGTTACATTCTGTTAAGCTGTTACTGTTACTGTTAAGCTGTTTGTTACTGCACTGTTAAGTGGATTATGTTGCTACTGCACTGTTAAGTGGTTTACGCTGTTACTCTGTTACTGGTACGGTTACTGTTATGCTTCTGTTCTGATGTTTTAGGGTGTTTTCTTGTGTCCGAATTCTTTTGCCTGCGCACCGAAACACTGTGATCGATCTCTCAAACTCCAACTCTCAACACTCGACTCTTGATCTATGCAAATTCTCATGTAGCCATGCCGCAACACACACACGCACACACACAGCACAAAAACACATGTATACACAAACACATCAAACAGCAAATCGAACTAGAGAGAAGAGTGTCGTCTGGCCATCGCTTCGTTTCCGTTCCATTTCTGCGTTTCAATACGTTTCTTCGCTCCTCTCCGTTATTTACGTCTGCGAATTGTAGCTCTTGTGGTGCTTCATCAGCACTGCGGGATCCATCACGTAGTTGTTGGCCTCGGCCAATTGCTGTACGGGCAGCGGCGGCAACTTATCCTGCGGATGCCGATGGCTGACCACCGTCGCGGAGCTCTTTCTCGTTTTGCTCAGTGTTCCACCGCCGCCCGAATAGGGCGACGTGGAATTGGAGTTTCCATTTGCATTGCCGGCGGAGGAGGAGGACGATGATGCTGGTGATGCTCCTCCACCTTCGTTGGCATTCTTCGGATTGACCATCACTTTGGTCTGCTTCAGCAGCGAACGATCGTTGCACAGCGCCGAAATAAGTGGCAGATCCAAGTGTTTGCTCTTCTCCCTTAACAAGGCAATGTCCAGTGCTTGGGCTTGGGCCTGCGCTTGTGCCTGTGCATGACTCTGCGCTGCCATGGAGGCTTGCAGTTGTGCCAGAATGCTATTGCCTGCGCGGTTCAGTCCGACGCCCATATCGGGCCTCGGGCGCTCGCCTGCCCACTGGGCACCGCTGGAGGTTTTGGTCAGCGGACTGTTGGCATTGTGGGGATTCAGCGTGGGCGGCTTACGTGGCGGTAGGATGCACGTGCTGGGACTGGGCTTTGAAGGAACTGCAAAAAGAGCGAGGAATTAGCAAGGGTTCGATCGATCTTTTTGTTTCTGTGCTTACTTGGTGGCGGCTTCTCATTGGGCGCTGGCATGGGTGGCTTCTTGAGGCGCCTGTTCACATACGGTGGCGGTGGTGGCGGCGGCAAACGCTTCCCCTTGGGCATCGAGTCAAGCGAATTCAGAATATTATCGTCTGATCGTGATCGTGCAAACATCGAGGAGGCATTGGCCGCAGCGGCAGCTGCCAGCGTCGCTGGATGCAGCGGTGGCGGCGGCGGTGGCTCGTAGGACGAGCACAGGCTGGCCATGGAGGGTGAGTAGAGTGGGGAGTAAGCTGCACCAGGCAGCTGTACGTAGGTGTCCGACAGGTTCTGTGTGGAGGCGTAGCGCGAGTGCGTGGACAGCGCCAGTGGGAGGTAGGGCGTGCTGCGGTAGATGGCAGGCGACACCTGCATGGCCAGATACGGATGATGCGGTGGCGGTGGGGCTTGGGCCATGGCTGCCAGCAGCGAGCCCTGCTTGGAGTCGAGATACTCCTGCTGACTGACTGCCGGATCCTGTATGGGATAGATGACATAATCCACATCGCTGTACAGCTGCTGCTGATACAGTTCCAGCTGCTTGCGCGCCAGCTGACTCGTGTACAAATGGTGTCCAGTCAGATGGGGATGTGCATGCGGATGCCCATGTGGATGCTGGTGCGGATGATGTGCTGGCGGTGGTGGTGGCGGCGGCTGGCGTGGCAGACTCGGTGGCGGTGGCGGCAGAAACTGTCGCGGCTTAATCACCGGCAACAGCACACACGCCTGCTGTGACGCCTGCTGGTGGTGCAGTGAGGCTGTGCTCTTGTGTAGGCCATAAGGAACTATCGGTATGCCAATGGCCGCCGAGCCCGAGTGTCGATGGTGCGGATGGTGCTGATGTGGATCCACCATGCGATGGTGCGGATGCGCATGCGCATGTGGATGATGATGCAGCGACGCCTGTGAGCTGGAGCCCGCGTAGTTGGAGTTGTGCAGCGATTGCTGCGACAGCTGATGACTGCACACCGATCCACTCGAGGATGCTGCGGAGGAGCAGTGATGTGGCGCTGCATAGCTGGGCTTTGCTCCATCCGGCAGCAGGCTGGTGTGCGCTTTCAGGATGCTTATCTGCGGCCTCGTTGTAATGAATCGCGCTGTCACTTCCTCGGACTTGAGGGAACTCAAAGAACCCGCCGTGCTGGGCGCTGGATTGGCGGAGGATGTCACCGAGATGAGCGATGTGGGTCGCGGCTTGCTGCTGCTGGGATATGGCGGTGGATCTCGACGTCGCAGTGAAGTCACTGTGGGCGGTGGCACTGTGAGTGGCGGTGGTGGCGCTGGACTGGGACTTGGCGCACGTGGCTCTGGCTTGGGCGGCACTGGAGCCACCACAATGGGCTTCGGCACCGTCTTGGGCATGGGTGGCACTGGCGGTGGCGCCACTGGTGGTCCACACAGACCCGTCTTCTCGTGTCGCGCACTGTACGGCGGTGGCGGTGCTGGCGGCAGTTCCTGCTCCTGATCATCTGCCTCGCTGGGCGTCTCCAGGGGTATGGGCATCGTCACGTAGTCACAGTCGGAGTGCAGCGTGCTGGACACGGTCTTGCGACTGGGATAGGTGCCACGACCCACAATGAGGTTTGTCAGCTCCTCGGCGGACAGCAGCGAGTGCTTGTTGTCCGTGGGATCGCTGCCATCGCCGCGAAAGGAGCTGCCCGTGCTGATGTTCGAATCGGAGCGTAGCCTGAACTCCGCCCGCTTCTTGCCACCATCCACGAGGTCCGAGGGTCCACCATCCTCCATCTCCATGTGCTCCATCTCTGTGGGCTGGAACATGCCGTAGTGTGAACTCTTCTCGGACTCTGCCATCTCCGAGGACTGCCCCGTCAGCTCGCTGCTGTGCATCGTGTACACGCCTGAGGTCTCTGTGGGCGGTGCGCCATGTGCGAGTGTGTACACGCCTGAGGCGCCGGACACGCTCTCCGGAAAGTCCTCGGGATTGGCCTCACTCAACGTGGAATTCTGTGCCGTGTGGCTGAAGCCCAGCTCCAGGCTGGAGGAGGTTGAGTGCACGGGTATGCTGCTGTTGCTGTTGGCTGTGGCGCCTGTCTCTCCACTCACTGGCGATGTCACCACCACAGTGCTGCACGTGGACGAACACTGGGAGCCAATGTTGTGCTGCGAGCTGGGGGAATCCGTGGCCGTTGACGAGTCATTGGCATTCGTCGTGCCCGAAGAGGTTCTCGGACCAGAGGAGGAATTACTGCCTGAGATGCCAGAGGCACCATTGGAGGCGGTGTCCGGTGGACGTACGCTCAACGCCGCCAGCTGCTCCTCCAGATCTTTAAGGGACATCTGCCCCACCGAAGAGGTTTGTCTGCTGACGCTGGGTCTGTCGAGGAGGTGCGCCAGCGCCAGGCTTTCCGTGGAGGGTGCAGCCAGTGGAGCTGGTGGAGTGTTGATCATAATTTCCAGCTCATCTTCAGAGTGCACGCGATCGCTGACAATGCCCGAAGTGGTGTTAGAGCTGGTGCTGGATATCACCGAGATACGCTGCTCATTCTTGCTCTTGTACGGCAGCAGGAGACTCCTCGAACAGGCGTAGCTCGCATGCAAGCGATTGGACTCTGCCTCCTCCTCCTCTCGCTTGTGGGCATCCTTGAGGCGTGCCGCCAGCTTCATGCTCCACTGGTGCGTATCCTTGCAGAGTGTCAGCAGCAGCTTGTTCTTCTCATCGGAGGCGGCATACAGCGTGATGCGACTCTCACCCGAGCGAATCTCGAACTTCTTGCGCTCAAACGAAAGTTTCGTTATGTTGGGCCACAGGAAGGTCGTCGTCGTCGTGGTGGTGTTTGCCTCTGCTGTTGCTCCCTCTGCTCCACCAAGTATCTTAATGCCTTTGGCATAGACCACAAACCAGGAGCTGCCCGCACCCTGTTCGCTCTTGGCCAGCCGCATGCGGAATGTGTGCGCATTGATGGTCTCGTGGAGGCTGCACGCTTGCTGAATGTACAGCAGCTCCGCCTCCGCTGCAGCCATGCCTAGGTGTTCCCTGTGGCATGCCCTCAGCGCACTCCTCGCCCAGGGTGTGTGCAGATTGCTGGGCAGATAGTCCTCGATGCGAAAGTAGTCCGCGCCGGACACGGGTAGTGGCGGTACGGGTGGAAGCGGCGGCAGTGGCAGCGACTCGCGCTTGGAGGTGGATGCCACATACGTGGACAGTCGCAACATTCGCTCATTGGCGCTGCTCAGCCGCTTGCTGATCTTCGGCAGCGTCATCGTTGTGGAGGCCGTCCTCGAAGAAGTGGCCTCCTCGCTGGAATCCTCCTTGGTGGCTGTCTGGGAATGGCTGGTGGATTGGCTGTGGGTTTGGCTGGGGGTTTGGCTTGGTGCTGGTGCTAGTGGCGCATCGCCCAGGTCCGCCTGCAGCGCAAGGCCGGCCAGAAAGACCAGCGCCTGCTCGGCATGCTCCCTGGGCAGCTGCTCCCGCTGCAGGATGTTGTGCCGCAGCTGCAGGTAGTAGTTGTGCCGCGATGTCTCATCTTTCAGCATGAACGGACTCTCGATGTAGAACTGCACACGAAAGTGTAGCTCCAGGAGGGGCCGTCCATTGGCATCCAAACCCTAATGAAGAAAAGTGAAAATAAGTCAAGGAGTGGGTTGGTTTTTTTGTGGAGGTAAGACTCACGTGGGTGTGTGAGGAACGCCAACTCTTGGGTCCGTATTTGGAGAGCTTGCTCTCGGGATCTGCAAACATGTACTCGCCATCTGCAAGAAGGGAATTACAAAGGGTAGAAGATGGTTTAGTAGAGAATAAAATGAATAATAAAGAACAAATGAAGATCACTGAAAACCCTAAGGTTCATGCGGACTTATTCAGATGAAAACTTAAACTTAAAAGAAACTAATTGCAGTCGAGTTCTCATTCCAATTTTTATAGCAAAGTCTATCGCCTATATTCATAAAGATCCATCCAATCTACAAAGTTCTCCACGAGATGTCAACTGTTTTCCATGAGCAAAGGAAGTAGAATTCGTTGGGCAGTCATCGCCTCAATCTATGAGCTGCTCAAACGAAGAGTGACAGAAGGAAGTTCGCATAAAACTACTAATCAATGTACATGTAAAATGGAGAACTTCCGATAGTGCCCAGGCCAGTTTCCCAGTTCATTTTTTTCCCCGATAAGAAAGCAGGAAAGGAAGGTAGCAGGAAGTGCCGCTCAATGAAGATCAGATTCCCGCGATTTTGGAAGCGGTTAAGGAACATTTTTGGCGCGAATCTGCCAAGGTCGCTAATCAAAATTTTAAATGAACTTTTGCCTCAGAGAGCAAGAGAGAGATACCGAGACTTGTGTCAGTTTGTCAGGCAATAAACAAGCAGGCCCATTGACATCAACAAGAGTTGGACTCAAGATTCGAGAGACTCAAGAGCTGGAGTCGGAGATGATGATGATGACGACACGTCAGGCTGTCAGTGGAGAGTAAGGGTATGGGCCCCAAGGGCAGGCAACAGGCAGCAGGCAGCAGGCAGCAGACAGCCTCCAATCCAGTAACAAAATCAACACACACTTCATCGAACGAAAAATTGGAATTCCTGCATACGAAATGAAGAGCAGCAGCCACAGCAAGATGGAAAATAATAATTATGAAAAGAGGCAGCAGCAGCAGCGGCAGAAACCAGAGGAGGAGGCAGGCAGGCCGTCAGCGGAGCTGCTGGAGTGGCATGCCATGGAATGGAATGGAAGCAGCAGCCAGCAGCCAGCAGCCAGCAACAATATCATAATAATCATCAGCGAAGCGGCCGAATAAGTGCCTATCAATGACGATGTCTTCGTGGAGTTGTAGCTGAAAAGATTGGGAGCTGCTGGCAGTGGAGGGGAGAGAGAGGCAGCTACAAATTCGAGTTGGGAGTAGAGTAGAGTCAGTGCCAGCAGCGAGAGAGCTGGTGGAGTGGCTGCTGCATACCAAGCCCAAAACGCAGCAACAACAAAAAACCAAGAGAGCAGGAGAAAAAAAACAGGTAGAAAGACAGGTAAGCGGCAGCAGCACTGGCAGCAGCAGCGACTGGCAGCTGAAACCCAAGCAAGACCCAGCCAGAGTCCCCGGAGTCTCGAATCGATTTCTTTTCGCATTCAAATTTCACTCAGGCTTCAGTTTTTGAAGGGCCTCTAGCAGGCCACTGCTAGGGATTCTAGGGAGGATTCTAAGAAGGTTGCTTGGAGGCTTCTAGGGGGGCTTCTTGCAGGCTTCTAGAGATGTTTCTAGGGAGGCTTCTAGGGAGGCCTCTAGAGATGCTACTTGTTGGCTTCTTGGAGGCTTCTTGGAGTCTAATTCTTCTCCCCTGAATCTCACAGGTGTGAAGGCAGCCAGCCAGCCACTGGATGTATCCTCACGCAATCTCTGTGGTTTGCCAGAGAGCTGCCACCCTTTTTGGTCAAGCGTTGGTTGCCAGCGGCAAAAACCTAATAATTAACATATTTTCCATCGCATTCCACAGCGCTCACAATTAACACGCACGCACACACCACAGACAGACAGACAGACAGAGAGAGGCAAACTCTTGTGGCAGGGGCAGGGGAAGGGGCAACGAAATAAATCTTCAATTTGAAACACATGCAACACAAATTACAGCCTCGATGTAGCAGAAGGGGCAGGCAGCAAGCAGCAGTGGCAGCAGCCAGCAGCAGAGGCTCATCAACCAAAGGAATTCCACAGCAGTTCGTTGAGGTTTGCTTTGGTTCGGACTCAGGCTCTGGCTCTGGCTCTGGGTTTTGTACGAAGTCAAAGTCGAACCTCAAGAGACAGCTGCGCCCAATGCCAATGCCAAGGCCCTGTGCCTGTTGCCTTGCTGCCTGCCTGCCTGCCGCTGCATTCTTCAGATTCAGATTTATTTTCCTAAAGGTTTTCAGCTTGGAGTTTCAGCGTTTGAGTAGGCCCCCATAATAACCAAAAAGTAAGAAAGAGAGGGAGAAGAGAATGTGAGCAGTAGAAAGAGGCAGAGTCGACTGGGAGATGATCTGTATGGGAAGAAGACAACTCTTGGATCAATCAGAGATCAATCTACAAAGCTGATTTTGGCTGTGCTATTTTACAGAGAGAATGTGATCGAGTCTAAGAAAAAGAATCAATAAGAAGCATTTCTTGTGTCAGTTATAAACTCTGATTTATGAACGTCCTTTAATGTGATAGAAATATGATTTCTTAATATAACTTTACTTTAATGGGCATAGAATTTGCTATTGGAATTTTACCATTAATATTCTGTACTTAAGTCCAGAAAAAATATTAAAATAATATCTACACCTCACAGTTACACAGAGAACTGAGACTAATCCATATTAAAAATAACATATAAATCCAACAAAAGTGCAGCGTCTTAAAAAATGTTCTTAACGAGGTAGCACTATGGCTATAGGGTAACTTTAGTGCTATAAATAAAGTCTACTGAAGTAAAAGATGTTCTATAGATCAACAGTAGACTAAAACCTCCTTTTCCCAAAAGAGTTCAAGGGCCTAAAACACCCTACCCTCTATGCACACGCTACAGGGTATGTCCTCAAAAGATAAATGTGTGCGTGCGTGTGTGTGTGTGTATCGAAAAACAGGCTAAAGGAAAGAGGCAGAAAAAAAACAAGAGAGAACGAAACGAAAGAACGAATGAAAAAAAAAACATAAAACCAAAAGAATTTTAATTTCCGATGTTATCAGATGCACGCAGCCCGAGAAGAGCAGGATGAGGAGGAGCAGCAGCAGCAGCATAAGGAGGCGGAGAGCAGCTGCGGCAGCGGGACAGGGACGGGGGCAGCGGGCATGCTGAGGTTGAGGTTGAGGTTGAGGCAAGGCCGCGAGTCGCCAGCGTCCATCACATCACAGCCAACAAAGATGCAGCAGACGAAGACGAAGACGAACAAGCTCCAACGCCATATAATAATGATTATGAGCCATTAACATTAAATGGAAAAGAAAATGTTGGTCTACAGATTACAGAGTCACCACCAGAAAAGCAGAGGAGGAGCAGCAGCAGCAGCAGCCAAAAGGTTGTGGCTGAGGCTGGGCACCGGACATCATGGAATGCGGCAGCGGCCGCGACGGAATCCAGGCAATGCGACAGCCTAAAAATAACACCAAACAGGAGGATGGAGAGTGGAGTAGCAGGAGGAGTCCGAGTCTGTCCTCTGCTGAATGACAATGTTGCCAAATTGCCATCGGATGCTGCAGCTGCTGCTGCTGCTTACTGCTGCTTGCTGCTGCTGCCTCTGCCACTGGCTCTGCCTGCCACTTAAAGAGCCATCCCATGAAGGAGCGGAAATTTGCATAAAGATGAAATTTATTGACGTTGCCGTGGCCATAAAATTGAAATTCATTTCTCGGTCTAAGCCCCCCCCCCCCCCCCCAACCCCTTCTGGGTACACCGAAAAGGGTCTGGGCCAAAAAAAGAAGAACAGAAACGAAACGAAAGACTCAAGAAACGAACGAAGAAGAACTGACATTCCACGGGGCTATCTATTCCAGAGAGAGAGAGAGAGAGGAGCAATGGGTATGCCTCTCTCTCTCACTGTCTTTGGAGAGCGCGCGGCGTGAAATGGTGGACGGAGGAAGCAAGCTCCGACCGCATGCCACTCACAGATGCACACAGAGAAACACTCACAGCTACAGCTACACGGACAGGAATCCTTGGCAAAACACACACACTTGGACACTGGGATGCAGAATGCAGAATGCAAACTGCCAATTTCATAGTTGAGCCAGAGGAATCCTCTGCTGGTTCTTCATTCCTCCATCTGCCTCTCCTTCTCCTGCCTTTTGCGGTTCTGCTGCTGCTGCTGCTGCTGCTGCCTCTTCCGCCTGTTCTTCTGCCACATCTTTTGCTGCTGCTTCTTCTCCTGCAAAGATGAGGACGTTGGCATGCCCATCCTCTATACCCCAGCCAACCCCTGCTCCAAGTTGCAGCTTCAGCTCCAGCAGCGACTCCAACTTCAAACTGCATACCAAATTCTTTGCTGAAGATGTTGAGGCAACTTCCACTGCTAGCTCTTCGCTCTCTGCCTCTCTCTCTCTCTCTCTCTGGGTCTTGCTGTGCCTCTTGCCACGAAATTGATGCCAACCAGATTCGAAAATTTACGTGTTGTGTTCTTGGGGCTTTGCTCTAACCAAAAGGAAACGAAAGGGTATGTAAAGTTTGTGGTGGGACTTGAAGAGGAATATGTAGAAAGAAATTTTAAGGAATTCTTTTAGCTGATTTTAAAACAGAATAAATGTTTGGAAAACCTTTTCTTTCTCCTCTTTTTTACAACAGTTTTCAGCTTCCCAACTCCTAATATTTGCTCTTTTTATCTCCCGTCTTTATCTACTTTTTTCAGAGCATTTTCCCATTCGACTTTCGCTCAAATCAAAAAGGAACTTCTCTCGTTTTGCTCTTCACTCTTTGGCGAACGCATATAGGAAGGAGAGGGGTAGCGGGCAGCGGTTAGTCCAATGCCAAAGACGTTGTCTGCGCTGCCCTGCTATGCTCCTCAGCCTGTGCGGACCAGACCAGGCCAGGCTTTGGCTCTGGTTCTCCATCCTCCAACCTCAAAGCAGCCTTTTCCCCATGCCCCATGCCGCATGCTGCTGCTGCCTGTCGTTCGATTCGTTTGTGTTAATGCAACGCGCGACGGCTACCTGAATTACTGAACACGCGTCTTGTGTCTGTTCCCCCCTCCCCGAAGTACCTCCCGGTATCCCTGTATCTCCCGTGGTTGTTGCTGCTTTTGGCTCTGAAATTGTTTGTTCGCTATGAAAGCGACGCGTTCCTTCTTTCTGGCCTTTTTGTTCGTTTTTATGTGCCATTTTTTGTTGTTGTTGTTTGTTGTTGCTCTGTTGTGTTGGTATTTTTATGTGTTTTGGCAGATCGAAAGGAGCAGCAGCAGCAGCAGCAGCAGCAGCAGGCAGTGCTCTCCGTTCTACACTCTCTCTCCGTTCTACACTCCAGATCTCTGCAGAAGTGAGGAATGAAGACTGCAGCAGATCTAAAGAACTAAAGACTGGGTCTAGAAGCTGACGACGATGACGATGACGATGATGATGATGATGATGATGAGCAGCTTTTACAAAAAGAAAGACTGGTTTATGTTTATTAGTTGTATTTTTCATGCCTTATCGCCTGGCATTTGGCTACTCTAAACTCTAACTGCCCATTCCAGCCCCCCCTCCCATCTATAGCAAATGTATATGGAACTCACCTATGAGCACTGCCAGACCGAAGAGTTCGGTATCGAGCATACCCTGCGTGGCAAAGTGCAGACATGTCTGCGTGTAAACCTCTCGTACACGGCTCTTGGCATCGACTAGGAAGTACAGGGTTTTCGGCTGCTGCTGTTGCCCCAGAAGTCTGCAAGAAAAATGCATATTTATTTATGTTAGATTTATGGTTTTGTGCGGAAACTCACCTCAGGGCCAGGAATCGCGAGCCTGGTGACAGTTGCTCGGCTGAGGACGCGCATACTTCCAGGGGCGCGCTGACGGTGCAAAATGCTCGCATGCTGCATCATTTTCCGTATACAGCGCGCACGTTCGAAATACGTTTGCTAGAGGTCACAAATAAATAGAGAAATTAGAGATTGTATATTTTTATTGTTATTGTATATTTTTGGGTAGCTTTTTAGAGCAAATTTTGTGAATTTTAAGCATCAAAAAGTGTGTTTCGATGTGTAAAACTCTGAGACAAAGATGAAAGTTCCATGGTCTGCAAAGGAGCTAAATATATTTGGAGAATATCTCAGCATCTTGTAGAGCAATTAGTCTCAATGTTTGGTAAGAAAAGACTGTAAGATTCTACTACTCAAATCTAAGAGGTAATTAATGGAAGCCCTCCCTGAGTATTTTCTTCATAATTAAATAAATTCCCATCTCGAATTTCCCACTATGGCAGAGCAGCCTTTCGACATACCGGAGGATTCTTTCAACCCGAATATATGTTGATGCATTCTATAATCTTGTATAATCTTAACCAATATATCTTCCATTTTACTTTTCTTTGCACTAAATACCATTTAAGCGATACGAATCGTGAAAAATCTCTCTACATTTTGTGGCAGAACTAATCGCTAGAAATGCGGCAGCAAAGGCATTCCATAGATAAATCTACCATCAAATAGCGATCAGATCAGCTTAGGTGCTTTTATGTTTTATAAGGCATTCTTTCGGGGCCAAAATGGAGGACGCTGGAGCCGCCCCAGTCGCTGGAGACGTTCGAAGACGATGGCACGGCGCCCGGTGCCGCTCTTTGACTGCCGAACAATTTCACCAATCAATAACGAAAGACTTAGGCGACAAACTTGATTAGCGAGCGGTGGCCAGTGCGTGCGTGGCAGAGAGCTCCGCCAGAGCTCCTCTCTCTCTCTCTCTCTCAAACAACACCCCAACACATGCCATCCCCACATCCCCACAAGATGCGTTGCGCATAAAATTATTAAAATTCAGTTAAAGAAAGTTCCACGGAGCGACCGAAAAACTGGCCTCGTGATGAAAGAAAAGTATTTTATGCATAAATTAAAATCAAATCGAATCAAATCAACTTTTTTTTTTACTTTGTAGCGAGACGCCAGAGACAGAGCCAGAGCCAGAGACACTTTAGTTTCTTTCTACCACAACATTTTTTGTGTGGCGCAGAGAGCGACGCATAAATTTCAATATTGGCGCATTTTCTGTGTCTAATAAATTTCAAATGTTCCATAAATTTATTCAAAGTCGCTAGAGAGAGACGCCGACAGACAGACAGACAGACAGAGAACCGCCCTGACTTCCATAAATATATGATCGGCATCGGCATCGGCATCCAACATCTACCTCCGTTTCCATTCCATTCCAACAACAACAAAAACACGATCATCAATCAAAGCCTGCATTTGACATAAATTAGAAACCAAAAGAGAATATTCCACCGGGAATACAAATCCGATACGAACCAATACCTCCCTCCTACCCAACGAAAAATAAAAACAAAACACAAAACAGAGCTCTTGAAAAGCAATTATATCTTAAGCCGATTTCCATGAGCGATCCACAGAACTGGCTCTGACTCGGGTGGCTTTATTTCTGATTACGAAACGAGAATTGGAATTCCAGATCTCTAATATGCTGCGAGATTGACTTATTACTGAGGAATTTATGGGAGAGACAGCAAGAAGTAAGCCACTAAAGGAGTTTATTATTATGCGATGACTGGGAGCTACTACTTGTAGTAAGTGAGTGATCATATAAGCAAAAGATTGTTTATTCTGTGCTAAAAAAATGAATACAGATGTGCATAGAATCGTGGGAAGTGAGTGACTGATTTTATAAGCAAGAGAAATTAATGCTGAAGTGATCTTTTAACTGCAATTAGTAAGCTTCTTTAAGCAGTGATAATATTAAGTGATCCTCTGACTTTGGTTTGAGAAATGATCATAGAAGTGATCTTCTAATCCAAAAACTGATCTTCCGCTTATCCATTTATTTCTGTAGATTTTCTTTGTCCAATTAGAGGAATGCGCCTCAGGGAATTCTTCAGGAAATGAACTCTAATGAGCAAGATCGATTAAACAGCAACCAAAGAGATTGCTGTGAGATTTCTCCGGAAGTGTTTGCCAGTGGATCACAACACTGATTGCCATGACCGATCGATGGCATCAATCAATGGGAACTTGTCGTGGAATATTTCAAACCCAAGACGATTCCCCTGGCCACCCCGAGATTCCCCAATTATATAATCCAAAAGGCAATGAGTCCCCCTCAAGATCGCCACAGACTCACTCAACAATCAATGAGCATTAGGCGATCTGGTTGGCTGAGGATGAGTCAGTAAGTAGTCTCCACCAGCCGGCAAAACAGCGGCTGGCAACGTGTTTTCTTAATTTAAAATGCAAACAAATTAAAAGCATTTAACAATTTCAATCATAGCAACAAATTATCCGCATTCCAATGGCTAATGAGAGCGGCAAGGAGAGGCACAGAAAAAAGACGTTTGTTGCTAATTATTAAAGTCAACACTGGAGAAGGCGGCAGGGGGGGGCCTATCAGGCGTTTGTGGGGCAATTAAAAAATGCGGCAAAAAGAAGCGAAGAAGCCAACTGGAGCGATAGAAAGACACAGAGACAAAGAGAGAGAGAGAGGGAGAGAGAGAGAGAGGGAGGGGCAGGCGGCAGACACGCTAATCAGCAATTAGCAAATGGCAATAAATACCAAAAACCCAGATGATAAAGTGTCTGTAGGGGTACGGGTACGGGTACGGTACACTTGCGGAATGCAGAGACAGAGAGAGAGAGAGAGAGATAGAGTGAGTGAGAGAGCAATAAATATCCCACGGGCTCTGCTGCGAAATGTGTGTGTGGAGGTCTCTTGGCGCCGGGCAGCGAAATAAATGATTTTTCTGCTTGTCACAGCTAAAACCCAAAGAGCAAAAAGAGCAAAAGAGACAAAGAGAGACATTGCGCATACGCCACGTTGTGCAGCGACAGCACAAGTCCCCCCCCCCCCCCCCCCCCCCCCCCCCCCCCCCCCCCCCCCCCCCCCCCCCCCCCCCCCCCCCCCCCCCCCCCCCTCGAGACCCACCAGCGATTGCATTGCATGCCATTGCACTGAGCTCATGCTCTGTCGCTGTGTGTGTTTTGTGTCCCCAAGTCAAACGAACATTCGATCAGAGATCGGAGATCGAAGAGCACGGGCCGAGGGCCCTACGATATAAACGATTTAACCGCATGTGCAGTCTGTGCCCCGCTCCACTGCACCACCGCTCCCCTTTTTTTGTTTTGTTGCTCATTGGAAATGCTGAATCGGAAACAGCAAATATCCATATGGATTTCATGGCGGAATGCCCAGTGCCACTGCGAAAGCCACTGCCCCGCAGATCCATAAACATTCGAGTGTAAACGATCGTAAAAATCTGCACAGTATGGAATGCCACTCGATACGAGAGATGTTACCAATAAAGATCTTAGATATGATCACACGATCACAGTATTAGAGGATCGTGCAGCAACAACAACAACAGCAACAAAAAAAAAACCCATTTCGCGCGATCTGATCAATAAACAACTGAAAATAAACGATCGTAAAGTCGAGCGCAGGCAAAGGAATGCGACGACAATAAAATATGTGTGGAATAAATGAAGAAAAATAGTAGATTCCAATGGCAGATCTGGGCGATAAACAGAGGCTCTTGAGGAGCGTGTTTTAAATGATTTTCGAAGGAACATTCGTAATAAACAATTTACGGAATAGCATATCGATGATCTTTAAGGAGCGCAGAATTGAAATTTACACTGAATCAAGGGGCGTAAGTATTGGCTTTGAAGGAACATCCCACAGGTGATAAATAAAGTATGTGAATTATTTCTCTTCTGCAGAAAGTGTGAGAATATTTCCCTGATAAAATAGAATACACATAACAGAACCTTCGTTCGTGATCCAATTGATCTACACTGATCTTTCCTTCCAATCTATATCTCTATCTCTAGCTGTGCCAATAGGCATAGAACCCAATAGAGGCAGTTCTCATGGCACTCCTCTCACACTTTAATCGCAAAACAGATACCAGAGCAGAGCAAGGCACATCTCTGGAACTCTTAAACTGGATTCGAATTCTATTGAAAGTGTTTGGAGCTCCCGGTCTCTCTCTCTCTCTCTCTCTCTCTCTCAGTTCTCTGTGGCAGCTAATGAATGACGACGAGCGGTAACTTTTGACGTGGAATATTTTGCTCATGAGTCCGCCAGACAGACCGGACCGGATCGCACTGGACTGAACTGTAAGCGAACTCTGGGATCCAAAGCGGGTTCTACGTGCGTCTGGGCTGTTTTTTTTAATTACCGATAGAGCCGACGATTGAACGGCATAGAACTGGCGTCAGTAAAATAGTTCAGTCGCTTCGTTCCCGTGAATGTTTGCCTTAGTTTGGTGGCATTTTCACACGCTGATCGCAGTCCAGTGCCAGCGGATGCGCGTCATTTCGACCCACAAGTGTCATTCCACACCAGGGGTGTGGCTCTGTCAAATGAGGCTTTTGGGGCTTTGAGGCTTTGAGGTTTTAGACGTTGGCTTTGGACGTTAAAGCTGGCTTTTATTATGACTGCGATTATGAGCCATCAAATCGCGCAAATACTTCGGCATCTTCTTGCCAAACAAAACAGACAAAATCGACAGAAAAAACATGGAGAAAACGAAGAGCGGCAATCGCCGAAAAAAAAACTTTGAAAGAGCCAAAGCCAAAGCCAAACAGCGGCAAATTCCGGCCAAAAATTCCACTTGTTGTGCCAGTTATGGCCCAAAACACACACAAACACACACACAGATACATTTTGGTGTGTCTTTGAAATGCGCGAAATGTCCCCCAATGCGATAAGTCTGCCGCTCATCATGATCATGACTATAATGATGATGAGCAAGTGGCAGACATTTAGAGAGACAGACAGACAGGCGAAGGGAAGACAAGTGAAGTGAAGAGCTCTGGGCCAAAGAAAACAGCGCACACGTCTCTTCGAGGCAGATACATGTAGACATGAAGGCACAGGCACACCTAACGCAGGTGGAGGCGATAGAGCGCTGGAGCGATGGCGATGGCCTCCGCAATGAGAGCAGAGCCCAGCAGGCAAGCACTTGGAGCAGCAGCAGCAGCAGGCAGCAGCACACGGCAACGTGTGCCGCATGCCAAATGGTAGGCGTGCGAAACTATGCTCATACCCTGGGAAAATAAAGAGGTCTAGGAAGGGGAGCATAGGCTGTAGCGATAAGTAGGGGAGTGTCATGAGATCTTTCGTGTGATGATGAGAAAATTCTTAAAAAACTGGACCAATCCTCAGTTTATATTTTGAGCAGAGGAGTTCTGCCGCACTTTTTCACTTATTGCTTGCAAAACTTGTTTGGAAAACAAAACCTTTGTTTTAGGAACGTAAGTCAATGACTGAGTCAATATACTGATTTAAAATACTTAATTAAAGCAGTTTTAATTCAATTTAACGGTCATGAGTCTCTCAAAATATGCCATTAAATCCAATTGGTTCTCCTTCTGTGTTTCCCAATTTCACTTGCCTTCTACAGGTCATCTAGCCGTCGATCTTTGCTCTAATCTAATCAGCGTGGAGGGGGCGGCAAAGACAAAACTATTGCGATTGGGTCTCTTTTCAGCTTCGACTCGGCAACTCGACACCGATTGTCATTCAAAATTTGTTTAATTTGTTGTACATTTTAATTGCTTGAATTGTTTGAAAAACAACAGAAACAAACAGACAAACTTTATGTACATACGCATATTGAGTGCGTGAAGGAATTTCGGTTTACGAAATTATTATTATTTCAAGTATGATTTTGCTGGCTGTCACTGCTGTCGATTTCAATGCAATGCCCATTGCCTGAGGTCAAGTGTGATGGCAAGATATAGAGATACGAGATGGAGATGTCTCAGCGTGCTAGACTCAATCGGAAACCACAAAACAATGACAACAACAGTGCAATGACAATCCCACAGATAGGTACGAAACACATGTACAGACACAGCTACAGCTACATATTGATATACAGTTACTCATATCAGTTTTGGTGGTAGAATCGTTTAACGATTAACCGCTTACCGCCCATTTGCCATTTGCTTATCTTTTCATTGGAGAAGTCTGAACGGAAAAACGGATTACGGATTACCAATCATTTGTTTACAAAACTCTGATTTCTGGTTCCTGATGGCGCTGGTCGCTCTATGCCATACAACACCTGGAGACAGAGTTCCGAGATTGGAGTTTAGCTACAATTTTCCACCTAATCTCAGTTGTTCAGTTCCGCTGTCGATCAGTTTCCACTCAATCAACAGTGTCCAGCCAGGTCGATAAGCAGGGCTATTAACCTTATACTTCTACTCTTTATAGGAGCTAGGAATGTCTAATTCCTGTACTCCCTCTATATTTACACCCTAATATCTAATATCGTCTAAACTAATTCCACAGAAATTTTCTCTTCCACCAATTCTTCAAATTCTTTGCCAATTTCCTTATGCCCCCAGTTTTGGGGCGGATCAAAATTCAAAACCCAAACCCAAACAAAATGGGTTAATTGCACAATGCGAAGGTAAGAGAAAGAACAACAGTGACAACAACAACAACAACAACAACAGTTTGGCAATCGTCGGTTGGACGTTGGCGATTTTATGGTTCATTTCGTTACTTTGGGGCTGGGGAGATAAGAGAATTTTGTTTTGTTTTCTTTATGAGTGGGTCGAGTCGGTCGAGGGAGTCATTAAAATTCCAGAGAAATGAGCCCACATGCTGGAGAGACCCAGACCCTTGGTCCACCCTGTCGCAATATGCCGTTATTCAAGAAGTAATTCTTTATCCTCCATCTCTTTGACGGTGACAGATTTCTTATTCCTTCCTCCCTCCTATGACCCGCTGAAACTGTTTTTACCCCTCTCCCGCTACTTCTTTGTTTCTATCGTTTTCCCTGTCTTACCTTATGCACTGCCGATGACAACGTTCGCCGCTGCAGTTGTTGTCGGCATATTGTCTCTGGTTTTTGTTCGTTGAAGTTTCTCTGCTGTTATTTGTTGTTGTTTTTCCTCTGCTCTGGTGCCGCGTAATCCACAAAAATTGAGAGTTTAAGTTTTATCTTTTGCTTTCTTCGACTCTTTCTCCAGCTGCCAACTGCTTCTTCTTCAACTTTTCTTCACTGATTTGTTCACACTTTTGCGTTTTTTTTTCCAAATGCCACCAAACTGTGTTTTATTTTTGCTTTTGATGCTGCTTCTGTTGTTGCTGGTTTTGTTTTGTTGCTGTTGCTGCTGCTGCTGGCTGCCTGACCTCTTCAAATCGCGCGCTGCGACTGCGCAGTCAACGCATTCCAGGCCGCACTTGTGGGCGCCGAAGTGAGAGAGGGAGAGAGGGGGAGCACGAGCACACTACGTTTTAATCAAAATTCACATACACACACGCGCGAGCGCTCCGAACACACACACAAAGTAGCAAGCAGTGTGAGAGAGAGTGGGAAAAAGACGTCAGCTCTCTCGCTCAAGTCGGTTACGTTTTTGTTGTTGTTGCGCGAAAGAATGCCGTTTGCTTGGTTGTGCTGTTGCTGCTGCTGTTGCTGTTGCTGGGGCTCGATTTTGACCAGCGCCAACTTTTGGATTGGATTTTATTGGATTGTGGGATTTGTATTGTAGGATTGTAGTGTAGTGGATTGTATTGTATACGATTTGATTGAGTCGTGTCCGCGCGATGTCTGGAATTTTCGAAAACAACACACACGTTACACACACCAACAAAAATCGGTAGCAAAAGCTTTTCTCTTGTAATTCAAACCCGTAAACGAATCCGAATCTGAGTCCGAGTTCCGTTCCCCAAATTCCCCAAAGCAAATCGTAACCGAAACGCGAAAAACACACTGCACTCTCGAGACTCGACTCTGTTTCTGCTCTGCTCCGATCGTGGGGCGAAAACCGAACTCCACTTGGAGCTGTGGCTGGCAAGAGCGCTGTGTCTGTATCTGCGCGCACCTTGTGGCTGTATCTGTGTGCGCACTGGCGAGTGTGGAGCTGCGAGCGAACTGAACGAAGCTTTCGTCAAAATTTCGAATGAAACCATGGTACGAAGATAATAGGTTTGTTTGCTTTCGCTCTCTGTGTTGATCGTTTCGTCAAATGTGTGCGTGTGAGCGCAAGGTATGTTATTTATAGGTGGCTCAACCTCCGCTGGAGAGATGCCTATAATGTTGTTTATGTACGTCAAGCAAGTACGAATATACAAATTCCACGCTTATTGCTTCAGCTGCTAGACAAATTAAACATTACCCATGAACTAAATCAATATTTTTTGTTAAATAATTTAAGGTCTTAACAAGCGGCCTGATTGTTAAGACAAACTGAACGAAGACCGTTGCCAGAGTCTCACTTAACGAAAACAAAAGAGGGAGAGAGAGAGCCAGCGCTCTGTCGTTTTGTGTGTGTGTGTATCTCCCACTGAGATTTGAGATTGGAATGCGACGTTTTCATGATAGTTAGTGGCTCCAACAGTTGGTTGGGGACAGAAAATACCACACAGACACACTAACACACACAGTTACAGTTACAGCTAGGCACCTCGAAAAAGAAAAGAAAGAAAAACATTCGCAAAGCCAAAAGCAAAAGGCAGCAGCCGTAAAAACGAAAAAAATGGGAAAAGGAAAACAAACTTTAAAGGAGAATCACAGTAGCAGCAAATGCAAAGGCGTACATCTGTATTTGTGTGTGTGAGAAATTCCAATGTTATATCTCAGCTGCAGGCGGTCAGAGGGAAGAGAAGATCAGCCCAGGAGCAGTAGTGAGAAGGAGAGGAATGCAAGGTCAGTAATTATAGGGTGGAACAGTGACATGTCAAGCTCTTGGGATGGTATCCCAGTGGACTCGCTTACGGGATGCACAGGAGCGTGTAATATTGGCAAAGAGTAGTGCCATACCTTACAACCACGTGCACCTTTGAGTGCCTGAATGCATTCATTCCTCGAGCATAATGTGAGCTTGATTTGCTGGATTCTTTTTACCTATCTCTCTCTCTCGCACCTCTCCCTCTCTAACCAACTACACACTCATTTTTTTTTCGTAAGTTTTGTTTTTCTTTTTCTTTGCTGTTCCCTCTTCTACCGCTTCTTCTTCTGCCTGCTGCTGCTGCTTCAAATATGCGCCCCACACCTCACCCCATAGTGGCCTGTTGGAGAGGGGGAGCTGTAGTGAAGTCCGAGTCTCCTCGATGCTGGGGCTCAGCACGTTCTTGACGGGTCGGGGGTCGTCTTGGCATGGTCATAACTTGTTGACTGATGCCAAAAGAGGGGAGCGGAGCAGTGGGAGCAGACAGTGTAGTGGCTTAGGAGAGCGCGGTGGGGGCCCAGGTGGAAGAAGGAGAGTCGGGGGAACGATGGGAACTCTCTGCCGCAGCCTTCGATTTCTTCGAGTGTATTTGCTATGCGTTTTTTATATATATTTTTGGGTGTTGTTTTTCTTGGTATACTCTGCCTGAAGGGTATAGCAGTTTGAGGGACGTTTAGGTCAGAAAGTGACATTCTTAGACTGTTCTCGTAAAATATCTTCCATCTACATTAAATGAGAATCCTTTACAGCCAAAAAAAGAAATCGTCATCTTCATTATTAATAATTCTCCATAAAAGTTCCTCAGCTGATAAATCCTCCCATGACACAATGATCCACCAACTTTTAGGGTACTTCCTGAACCGACTCGACTGTATCCCGGCTTTTGATTCTTGTTTTTCGTTATTCTTTCGTCTTCGGCCGATCGCTTGGTTTGCTGTTGGCTCTGGCTCTGTCGCTGTTGCTGACTCTCTAAGACCGGTTGTTGTTGCTGTGGCTGTAAGCCTGCCTTTTGGGCGCTACGTTCTTGGTCAAGATTGTGTGTGAGTTGGTGTGCACACACACACACACACACACACAGCTACAGATATGTACATGCGAGTGGAGGTTGGAGCCTGGTCGAGGCCGAAGTTTCGACTCCAAGAAGAGAAAAAACTAAAAAAATAAAGAACGAATTTTTTATGCAATTCCTTGAAGTCGATTTCTGCTGCCTGGCCTCCAGTGTCTCCCCAGAATCTCTTTTGCGGAATTGGCGCGCAATTTTTTGCTGTATTTTTTCAGTTTTTTGCGGCCCCCACTCGATTCTGATCCCAAACCGAAGTGATCTGCAGCAGCTGCCATTGATCCTCTTTCTATTCAAAATTCCTCGTGTTTCGGGGCTCCTTTTTTTTTTGGGTTTCTACCCTGCGCTGTTCTGTTTCTTGGCCAAAGCCAAAAGTCTTTGTTGTTGTTGATGATAATACGGCGAAGAGGCCTGGAATTTATTGAATAAGTTGGCATATGACGCGGGTGCCCAGTCCCCAGTTCCACTCCCCTTAGTATAAGTATTGGTGGGTGCCTGTATGTGTGTTTGTTTCGTTACGCTTCATTGCTGTCAATCGGCCGTCGATACAGCCCGATTGTCGCATACTTGCTGCCCTTTCAAGTGGGAGAGCATCACAACTAACCGGGGAGGAATGTAGAGCATAAGGCTCTGGGATTTGTGGAAGTTCCATTGGGAACTTGGTTAGTGATTGCTGATCTTGGAGTAGATCTGTGGAAGATTTCTCACAACAGAAAAGAGAAGAGTTCATGAGTATTAAGTGCTCAGGGACCGATCGTTAATCTCACAGAAGTTGCTACAAAATAAAGTCAGGAAGATAAAATACATTTAAGGAAGAAATCGAAAGAAGAAATGAGCACCGATCGTTGTTCATATCCTTCCAGTAAAACCATCAGCACAGATCCGTGATCATAGGATTCAATCTCTAAGGAATCTCCCTCATGTCTCGCTATCCATAATTTATACAATTCCCCTGTCAATATATCTTATCAATCAATCCACCAGCAGCGTGTGGCTGGAGTGTATTGAAAGGTTCGATGAGTTGTCGATTGAGTTTCCATTTCATTTCGTTTCGTTTCGATTCGTTTTGCTTTGTATTCTTTTTATTATGGCCAAATATTTCTGCTGGCCAGCCAGCCAGTCATGCCCCTTGAGCCACGATAATGTTAATGGAGGGACCGAGACCCGGCCACCGCGCCCCTCAGTGTTCTCCAGCCGCCCCTCCATCATCGAGCCTACAGTCTGTCGCCGGTCCGAGGTATTTTTATGACTTTTGTTACACTAACTTACTTCCTATTCGAATTGGAGGGCAATGCGACAACAACCGACGACGACGAATGGACGCTATGGCATTTATGTTTTTATTGTTGTTGTTTTTTGAATGTAAATGAGAGAGCGAGAGGGAGAGGGAGAGGGTTACCACCTGAATGGGCGTCATTCCACAGTTGATTGGTTCGCCAGATCTGAGGTTAACTTTGACTGTGATTCTGGCACAAAACAAATCTCTGCCTGTGACTCGGCTCCCAAAGAATCTCTTCGCTTGACAGACCTTTGACTTGGATCAAAGTTTTTGGAGTGGATGAAGTTTCCATTCCCATGGGAGGTAGGACCCATCCACCCAAACAGAATCTCAACTTTAACCTTTGGCTTCCGTGGGCTGTTTCTGGAATGGTTCGTGGAATGCTGCTGCCACTACATTGCCATTCCAAATTGGCAGCTGGAGCCACACTGGAAGCTGCGACTCTAATCTGCCTACCCTACTTTCACTCCATTTCCAGTCGTCGAGACTCTTTGGCATCTCGAGACGCGAGATTCGATTCGATTCGATTCAATTTATTCGAGCTGAACTTTTTCACTCGCTGCCTCTCTCTCTCGCTCTCTCTAGCTCTGTTTCTATCTCTAGTTAGAGAGAGGAGCGCGGAGAACCGACGAAACTGCAATGAAATTTCAAGCCTGGCAGTCGATTTTGCTGCTGCTGCTGCTGCTGCTGCGGCTGCTTGGGATTTGCCTTTTTTGGGCCTTGGAATGTTGCATGCTGCTCCTGCACCTTCTGCCACTGTCCCCCGACTCCAGCTTAAGCCCCCGAGCAACATGCAACAACGACAACAACAAGAGCCAAGCACCAACAATGTGTTCTAAATAAATTCCAGGGAAATGAAATTCAGGGAGCCCCCCGACGTGTAGCTAGAGGCCGAGGGAGAGGTGCACCAGGAGGTGCTCGGCGGAAAAAAAAGGCAGATGTATCTTGCAGATACAAATTCTGTACGCTGTGCGCAACGTGATTGCAATCTTTAGCATCGTCATCATCATCATCAACAGCAGCAGCCAGCAGCAAAAGAACAGCAACAATAACAACAGCAACAAGCAGGGAAACTGATGGACTAGGTAGTACCTACTATTGGGAAAGAAAATGTTGAAGAACGAATAGTTCAAAGCAGGACGTTGAGTCATTAGCCGAAACTCAATTAGGGAAATTAGGAAAATTTCAGGCTAATCATAGCTCTCACTCTAGCCACCCTCTATATCCTCTTCCAACCGATGGGAGATGCTGCATAATGCGTGATAATAATGGAAATATTCACGAAATATTCTTTAAAACAGTAGCTGATTGCTCTACACTTTTACTAAAGAGTTTTAAGCCATGGAAATAAACGAATATTGATCAAAGCTGTACCTAATATTTTTTTCACAAATTTTAAATTTGATATTATAAATGTGTCTCTGGCCCATTCCTCCCCCTCTATACCCTTTAAATGCCGGCTAACAAAAAGCAAAGCAAAATGAAAACAAAGCAAAAAGGAAGAGGAGCAGAGCAACACGAGGCACGAGATTCGAGGCTGTGGCAATAAGCTCCAAGGCCCCAAAAACGCAACCGAGGAAGAAGACGCAGCAAGAGTCGCGCGTGCGCAGCCTCAACGGATGTCTCTAAGGCATGTTGTTGTTGCTTTTGCCTTTGCTCTTTTTCTCTCTCTCTCTCTTTCTGTGCCTGTTACCTGTTTTGGCCTTTCTTGTGCTTTGCCTTCTTTTTGGCCAGAGCGAGCTGCTCGAGGAGAGGGAACGCGGAGTGGCAGAGGGGAGTCCTGTGGCTGCAACTAAAAAAAAGAAAAAATAACCAATGTTCGTACAGTAGCTGCGTTGCGTCTGCGTTTGCCTTTTGCTCTTCTTTTTATGCTTTTTTGTTGTTGCTTTTAATGAGCTTTTATATGCGGCTGCAAGGATCGAGACAGGAGACGGAGGATCAGGGCAAACAAAGAGTAAGAGCTTGAGCCAAACCAAGCGAATGCATCTCCATGTCAGCAGTGGATGATGATGAAGCTTTTTGCTTTTGCGGTTTATCGAAGCCTCCAAACCTCTTTAACCGATTCCTAGGCCACCTCTCAATGGCATGGAAATGCTCGTACTCGTACTTAAGGTATTTGGTTCCCATGGGTTGCCGTCACAGAGCGATGCCAGCGAGGTGGAGTGGTAGGTGTGATGATTATTATGGTAACACAGTTTTTGGCGGCAGAAATAGATACAACCGCAAAAATAAAGGAAAAGAGGAAAACACTTGTTCAAACAGCAAATACTCGTGAGTGCGAGCAAAACAATTTTTCACTATTAACTTTTGAACTTCAAACAGGCAGCTGGATGGGTCTACGTTTACAAGGAAAAATATTTACAAATTTGTGTAAGGAATTAAAGTACTCATTAGGTTTGGGTTTAAATAGAATACGTGTAGAAATTATTGATAAAAAGCCCCAACTAACAGGCCTAAAGCTATGATCTGCAAACAATTTTTGGTCAGTTTTTGTTGAATCAATTTCTAAGCTAAAATTAACTGCAAACACCCAACACGGATAATCCTTAGAAGATCAATTATATTGAGAGTTTTCTAAGTGCAAAAGCCTAAATAGATATTCGAATTAAATGATTTTAATTGTTATAAAGTCAAATTGTTTCCCCAAAACAAAACAGACAAAAGTCTGTAATGATATCTCTGATATGAATATTTTTCTATGATTTATTAACAGAGCTATAAACCCTTTCTCTGAAGTACACTTCCACACTTCCACACTCATTACTCTATAAATTATCCAACTAAAACGAAAATCTTTTATCTCGCACACTCTGTAAAGCTTAATGTTATCCTGCAGCAAATTCATTCTCGCGAAATCAGTTCGTGTGGCCAAAGAATTTCCCAGGGAGCGTCTGAAGCTGTGGAATACCTTTTCTTACCCCCAGTTCAGCACAGTCCACAGCACGGCACAGCTCAATCTGCAGCTGTCAGGTGTGGCCGGCTAATTGAGAGAGTCGCGTTACGAGATCATCTTGACACTTTTCGAGGCAACGGGCAGAGGCAGCAGGCACCTGCCGGACGCCATGGATCCGCTGATGATTAACTAGTCACTCCAATTGAGAGGCAGCCGGTATGATGGTGGAGCGCAGGCAGAGGGACAGACAGGGAGCAGGCACCAGTCAGGTATGAGGTATGTCGTCTGTGATAAAAACACCGACAAGTGGCCCCGCTGCTGACGCATTTTGGCCCAAACGGCTGATAAGCCGCCAACAGTCGCAAAACGTAAATTCAATGCCAAAAAAAGCGAAAAAAAAACACTCTCTCGAAACACACAGCAAATAGAAGATACAGATAAAGATAGAGGCACACAGCAAAAGATACAGATACAAATACATAGCTAAAGATACAACTACAGATCCAGCGATAAATATATAAAATTCTTCTGGATTTTTTTCTTCGGCACAAATGGAAGTGGAAGATCCCAGCGTATTACTTATTCAAATTTCGATTAGCATCTTGAACCGTGGGAGCAAGCAATCCCCCAACCCTAGATAGAACTGGTGCCCCTCTGAGGGAACTGCCTCTGCACCTTCTAGACTGATAAATATTTGAGTTTTGCATGCCATAGCCATGAGTTCAACGTCGTACAGCGAGTCTTCAGGTGGCTCTGTGGCTCTGTGGCTCTGTGCTGTTGTTGCCGCACATTTAATTTTCAAACATTTATCAACAAATATTTGGCGCTTATCATTTGTTCAACTCAAACACATAGAGTGGAGAGGAGCGCGGTAATGATGAGGGTAGAGCAGAGGCAGCAGCTCTGTGGTTGCTCCACTCCTAAACAGAAGCTGCATCATCAGCATCAGCAGATTTACTGACCCGAACACCTGACAAGCAACCAACCAACCAACCAACCATCTCAACACATTTATTATGAGTATCTGCCCTGGCTGGACTTTTGTGCAATAATTTGCATGGATTTCTAGCTGTGGATTTTCGAGCTGATGCTGCTAATTATTGTGGGTGTGGAGTTCATGCTGGGTTATGGCTATGGATAGTGGATTGGATGGGGAATTATTTTTTAGGAATTGTTCAACCTCTAACCTTGAAGAGTTTGAAACTTTTGGCTCTACAAGGCTCTATAAATAATATCTGTAAATAAAAAGAAAACAAAAAACTTGTGGGACTTATGGTTATTATAGAAACACGGCATAAATGCAGCAAAAGGAACGAAATTAGATGAAATAACAACGAAAATGGCTACTAAAAATGCAAAATAAGCAAATAAATAACCAATATTAATTCCACCTATAATAAAAAGTGGTTAATTATGTGTTTAATTATGTTAAAAAGAGCCTGAGAGGCCAGCACCTCAGTGCCCATAATTTTCTACATATTTATCTATTTATTTTACCTAAAGAAATGAGGTAACACATATTTTTCCCATGGGGCAGGCGCAGAGCCCAAAGCAATTTGTGTTTTGGTTAGGCCCATGGGTTGCCATGGGCACCGGAAGACCCTTTGGCCACGTCAAAACCCCATATGCAGGTATGTACCTGTGCCCACAGTCGATACTCGCAGGAATCCACAAATTAAATCTAACCAAAGAAGGAGCCCAAAGACAAATTATGGGCATAGAAATTAGAAAGAACTAAAACAAATGCCAGAAGCGGCAGCAGCAGCAGTCGGAGAGCTCTAAAACCGAAACAGACGAAGGTAAGGGTAACCGCAGGAAGCGGCAAACAGCATTCCTGCCAGAGAGTGAGAGAGAGAGAGAGAGAGTGGGGCGGTGCCGCCCGAGGGCAGAGGAATGACACGCATCCGGTTTTGAAATTCCACAGAGCCAGGCCAAGAACAACCCAAAAAAAGACTAAAAAAAAAGAAGATCCAAGGAATTCAGACACTTGAAGTCGCCAGCCAGAACAGGAAGAGCCAAACCAACTCCATCTTTAGCGGGCAGAGGGGCAGCCCCCCGTGCCGATGGCGACACTGGAGCTGGACTACTTCAGGGCCGTGTCCCTCTACCGTCGTCGCTCCTACGACCAATGTGCAGAGCTGTGCAACGCCCTGTTGCAGGCCGGTCACGACAACAATGTCCAAATGTTTGCCACCAAAGAGGGAGGGGAGCAGGAGGAGCAGCCGCAGCAGCAGCAGCCACAGCAGGCGGAGACCGAAGGCAGCCGCAGATTCGGTAGCAATTTGCAACGCATTGGCCCGAGGCAACAGCCACAGTCGCAGCAGAAGGCCGTCGCCGCATCCATCATGATGCCCACTTGGCTGATGGAGGGCGTGTGGCAATTAAAGATGCGAGCTCTGACGCAGCGCGTCTACCTGGATGACCTCGAGGTGGATGATGCTGGCGAGGAGCAAGGTAAGTCGCAAACCAAACCCACTTTGACTGCAAACCAAAGCCAAACTTCCCCCCCACAGCCCACGAGGAGGTGGAGTTCGAGCGCATTGCCACGGCCGCGCGTCCTGGCAGCAGCATCAAGACCGCATTCCAGCCACGGCCGAGCACCAGCCAGCGCCTGGCGCAGCGCAGCAGTCGAGGCGCTGGCATGGCCCACTCCAGCGATGGGCGACTGAACAGCTCCCGTCCGGGTTCCGCGGCCGTGGCGCGTCCTGGCACGAGTCTGAGTCGTCCGGGATCCTCGCTGGGTGCCCGGCCTGCATCGCGTTGTGGCACAGCGTCGCGCGTGAGGGCCACCTCAGCGGCGGCTTTTAATGTGGGCGATGCCACGTCGAAGCTGTATCAGGCCTCACGCCTCAATCCCACCATCTATGCGGAGCGTGAGACGCTGGTCAAGGCGCTGTTTCAGTTCCTCTACTACCACGAGGCGGATGTGCAGAAGGCGCACTCCCTCTGCCAGGCGGTGCTCGAGGTGCAGCGGCAGCGACCCATTGCCACAGGCACTGACTGGTGGTGGCAGCAGCAAATGGGAAGATGTCTCCTCGCGCTCCACTATCCACGTCGTGCGGAGCCCTGCCTGCAGCAGTCCCTGGCAGCCTTTCCCCATCCCGACACTTATTTGCTGCTGTCGCGACTCTATCAGCGTCTCAAGCAGCCGGAACGCGCTTTGGTCTTGATTGGGGAAGTGGTGGATCTGCGTCCCTTCGATGTCACCTATCGCCTGGAGCAGGCGCGCATCCATCAAGCCATGGAGCGGCAGGAGGACTCGCAGCAGTTGTATCGCCTGGTGGCCCGACTGCAGCCCATCAATGTTGAGGCGCTGGCCAGCATTGCTGTGGGCTACTTCTACGACAACAATCCGGAATTGGCTCTCATGTATTACCGTAGAATACTCTCGCTGGGCGCACACTCGGCGGAGCTCTACTGTAACATAGCGCTGTGCTGTCTCTATGGCGGACAGATTGATCTGGTGCTGCCCTGCTTTCAGCGCGCCTTGGCCATGGCCACACAGCCCGAGCAGAAGGCGGATATTTGGTATAATTTGAGCTTTGTGGCAGTGGTGAGTCCTTCCGCATAGAAGTCCAAACTTTACTTAAATCTATCTTTAAATGTAGACCTCTGGAGACTTCAATTTGGCACGTCGCTGCCTGCAACTTTGCCTCACCTCGGATGCTCGGAATGGCGCGGCTTTGAACAACCTCGCCGTGCTGGCTGCGCAGGGTGGAGACATTATGGGCGCCAAGTCATACCTTAATGCAGCCAAAGATATGATGCCCGATGCGGAGGAAGTGACTGGCAATCTGCAATTTATGGATTTGCATTACAAATTGTAGATGAAATCGCGGCTCGCTCAGCTCAACCTTACGTTACCCAACACTGTTTTAAAACAAATGACATTTTCACCAAATAAACGGTTCATGGAGCAGCTTTTATTCAATATCCACGCCCTACTGCCTCTGCAGCCACTCGTAGATGGCGTCCAGCCCCACTTTGTTCACCGCACTGGCCTCCACAATGGTCACCTGTTGGCGTATTTGCTTCTGCAGCTTGGACATTTGCAGCATGAGCAGCGCCTCATTGCGCATCTGCCTGTAGGAATAATCCATTTTGGCCAGCACCAGCAGAATCTTTACCTTCTGTAGTCGTGGCTCCGTCAGTATGGAGTAAAATAACACCCCAGCTGCTGAGATCTGGCATAGATTGGATGTGTCCACCACATAGATGAGTTTTTTCACGTCCTCAAAGTACTGCCGCCACAGTGGAGCCATGCTGCCGCCTATCTCCAGTATCTGAATGGACTTGGGCAGATGCTTGCTCCCGTGGGGGTGTGCAGGTGCGGATCCATCCGCTGGCGGTGGCTTTGGTTTGTCGCTGTTTGGCGATTTGGTGGGAAAATGAATGCGATAAATGCCCGTGCCAATGGTGGGCATGGAGTAGCTTGTCTCGTCAATAGAGTCCGGCTCTTGGAGCGCCTTCAGCAGGTGGGTCTTGCCCGAACGCTTGGGACCCAGACAAATGCAGGACATTTTTACCGTTGCTTTTCCTTCGATATTGATCAAACAACCAGAAATTCAACTATGACTCCATCTATCGCACACATTGTAAACTAACTCAGCAGTCTGTTAAGCACAAAGGGTGCTGTTGTAGTCACTTTTGCAAATTACCAGGTATATTTCGGTATATTTCGAGCGCTTATCGAAAACACATTGTCACCTTGCTGGTCACGCTGTATGCTGTCTCATCGTAAACAAAATTTATATTTGTGGATAAAATGGATGAAATTTGCGCGAAACCAAAACCCACAGAAGTACCTCGTGAGGAAGTCAAACAAACCGGCTTTGAGAAGCAGTTTTCGGTGCCTGTGAATGGCATACCCACGGAAATAGTGTACCATCGCTTCGGGCGCAAGCGTCTGCTGGTCATCACGCAGCTTGGCAAGATTGCCGGCACCTACAATGTGAGCTTCGACATAAGCAACAGTCCCTCAGTGCTCAAGCCCGTGCACAATCCGGACTTCCACGTCTCGGTGCCAATAACCATAAACTGCTGTCTGGGAGCCAACACTGCTGAAGTCGACTGTGCCATTCAGTTCCTGGTCAACAACACGAAACTTTGGGAATCGCCAACGGATTTTGTTATCTGCCTCGGCCTGAAGGAAATCGACAGCCCCAATCTGCACGCCCTGGCCAAAGTGCTGAACGAGGTTGTGCTCTAGCATTATCCATTTATATATTATTATTATGATAACCCAATAAACGTCACAGACCAATCACTTTTCGCAAACGTTTATATTTCGTCGAATTTGTACATTAAAACGTGTACGAAAGTCGGAAATAAAAACATCACTTCATAGGGATAAAAAAGCACAAACACGGCGGATGTTATGTCGGTATGGATGTGGTTCATAAGCATATATTGGATGCTTAATCGAACAGGCCGAATCCCATGTCGTCGTCGGACACATCGGACTCTTCCTCCTTCTTCTTCTCCTCCTTCTTGGCCTCGGCGGCTGGTGCATCAGCAGCAGCGGGGGCAGCAGCACCACCAGCTGGGGCAGCACCAACTCCGGAGCCGATGTTGGTAATCAGATCCTTAACGTTGACGCCCTCCAGAGCCTTGGCGAAGAGACCGGGCCAGTAGGGCTCGACCTCAACGTTGGCGGCCTTCAGGATGGTGGAGATTTTCTCACCCTACGGCAATACATACAAAAAAATATGATTAGTAGGTGTTGTGGAACAGTGCAATGCATCACAGGATTAACAAATCTTTCACAAATCCATTAGGATGCCGCCAAACCGAAAAGATTTGTTTTCCATTGGCATTGACTTTGACAACTCAAACTTACAGTGACGGCAACATCGTCATCAACCAGGATGAGGGAAGCGTAAACGCAGGCGAGCTCAGCTTTTGTCGACATTGTGAAATTGGTGTTTAATTAATTATTGTGCAAGTCGCCAAAAATTAATTTGTTTAATAAATGGCCTTAGCTCTATTGAGAACAAGCACGCTGGGGAAAAGTCCAAACCGGAAAGAGCTGATATCGGAAGTGTGGCCGCCGAAGAATTTTCGTACTAATATACCGTCTGACCATAAGAAATATACCAAAATATATGTTAAATATACCATGTTATATACCAATACACAATTTCGACACCAGAATATACCAACAAGTATAAAATATACCATAAACGGTCACCCTGTCTGTTAGTAAACAAAAAAGGCGCGCAGAATGTCGGACTCAGAAGATATCAAAATCAAGGCGGAACACGAAACTATAGCCGATGGCGATCAATCCCAGGATGAGGAGATGAAGGAAATACTCAAAATCACGTCGCTAAAGTCGTTGGGTCCGTTTATTGCTTCTCAGGAGAATAGCCAGAACACGGTGTACCTCAGCGATGTGCCGGCCGTGTGCAAGGAAAAACCCTGCATGCTAGGCGTTGACGAGGCGGGCCGTGGTCCCGTACTGGGTCCCATGGTCTACGGCATCTCTTACTGCCCGGTGGAGAGCAAGCAGGCGCTGATCGATCTGGGCTGCGCCGACTCCAAGCAACTGACGGAGGAGAAGCGGGACATCATCTTCAACGAAATAAACACCCTCGAGTATGCCAACAGCTGCATGGGCTGGGCCGTGGAGATTATCTCACCCAATGTGATCAGCACGAGCATGTACCGGCGGGCCAAGTGCTCGCTGAACGAAGTCTCCATGGAATCGGCCATGGGTCTGATCCAACGCGCCATCGATGCGGGCGTGAACATAGCCGAGGTCTATGTTGACACGGTGGGGCCGCCGGAGAAGTACCAGGAGAAGCTGATGCGTCGCTTTCCCAGCTTCAAGATCACCGTGGCCAAGAAGGCCGATTCCACCTACCCAATTGTCTCTGCGGCCAGTATCTGCGCGAAGGTAACCCGCGATCATGCGCTCAAAGTGTGGCGCTTTCCCGAGGGTTTGGTCATCAAGGACAATGCCTTTGGCAGCGGCTACCCAGGGGATCCAGTCACGAAACGTTTTCTTACCGAAAACATTGATCTGGTGTTTGGTTTCCCGCGGCTCGTGCGCTTCAGCTGGTCCACAGCGGAGAATGCGCTGGCGGACAAGGCCTACGACATGGAGTTCGATGAACCGGAAACGGAGAAGCCAAAGTACGCAGGCACCAAGCTGACAAAGTTCTTCAAGGGCACCACCAAAGAGGGCGAAGTAATACGCGAGGAATGTCGCTTCCTCAAGCAACGTCATCTGTCCAGTGTCCACGAGTTTTAGACGTTGGATAAATCAATTTTAAATATAGCTTTAGCTTTAATGAATCTTATGTTTTTCGCCAATTCTTCTTTATAAATCTTAGGCTTACGTTTGTGTTTACAGGCTACGTGTGGGGGCGGGGCGGGGGATGCAGTTACACTGTTCTGAATGTATGCGTGAATCGGTTCTGATCTCTCCATCTCCATCCATCTGCATGTCTGTGGAGTTGGGACAGGGTGTTGTGGGACAATACTCGTACTCGTATGATTTAAGTCTTAAGTGTAAAAGGGCAGCATGAAGTTAGGAGCAGGAGAGACTATATAGAAGTGGTTTAGAGGGGGGTTCGTCGTCGTCATCCACTCTCGATCGATACAATAACAAAATGCATAAAGTTATACTAAACGATTTCTGTATAAAAATTGTGTGGGGCGGGGAGGAGTTCTTAGAATCATAGAGCTTACAATTAAGATTAAAAACGAGCAGAGGGGGCAAAACGCGTTGTGTGACTAAGCGTACGAAAGACATTGGACAAAAGCATAAGGAGGGGAAAACTCGTTACCCAAAGCGCTTGGACATCTCTGCAGGTACACATGAAATGGATATTGCTTCATGGGAACAAAAGAGAGTCCAAGCAGCTCCGTTTTGAAGGTGTGTTTCTGGGTGTTCGGGGATGTTTACAGTTTACATAGAAGCGTTTTTTTTTTTAATAGACAAAACTCAGAATCTCCTGGACGCGTGCTGGCGCTGTTAGCGTATCCACAACGCCATTGAGTGCCGTGGATCAGAACTTCCGCAGATCGAGCACAAAAACGCTGCCGTCGGAGGCACTGGCGCCCACTTTGGTGCCCTTGGAGTTCCAGCAGACCTCGAAAATGCCACCAGTGCCCTTGTAGCTGTGCACCAGCTGTCCGGTTTGCGTGCTCCAGATGTGCACACACTTGTCGAAGCTGCCCGAGGCCAGATGTTTGCCATCGGGACTGAAGGCCACCGAGTAGACGGGCTCCGTGTGCTTGGTGAGCGTGTGAATGCAGCTGCCCCGCTCTACGTCCCACAGTCGCACCGTGGAATCGAAGGATGCCGAGGCGAGAATAAGATTCGTATTCGGATTATTTGTGCCCGGCCCCGTGGGCGACCACTTTATCGTGTAAATCTCCTTGGAATGCGCCTGCAGATCGTGACAGCAGCGATCCCGATTCATGCTCCAGATCTTCAGTGTCATATCATCGGAGCAGGAGGCCAGTAGCTGTCCCTGCGGACACCACTTGATGGCATTCACCTCATTGGTGTGCCCACGGAACGTCTTGATGGGCTCATTCACGCCCAGCCGACACACGTGTATCCGTTGATCCGTGCTGCACGAGGCAAATGCCAGATTTGTCTGCCAATCAACGTCCAGGGCGGGTGCACTATGGAAGGCAAATTGTTGCGTGCACTGACCCGTGGAGGCGTCCCAGATGATTGTTGTTTTGTCCACGCCGGCGGAAAGAATGTAATTGCCGCTTTTGTTCCACTTGAGCGCGAAAATCGGTCCCTTGTGCTGGCCTAGCGTGGAAGCCAGCCGTCCGTCTGTCTTCCAGATGCGCGCATAACCATCGTAGCTGCCTGTGGCCAGCAGCGAGCCATCACACTGCAAGGGAAAGGGATTACAGATCTGCGAAATCGAATACGGCGATATCTACTCACATTCCAGTCCAGCGATGTGACATCCTTGTTGCTGGGCACCTCTGCTCCGCCCTTTTGGATGCAGTGCCGCAGCACCAGCTGATTGGAATTGGTATTTGCATCGGACATGTCCCAGATGCGGGCAGTACTGTCGCCAGAGCCACTGGCCAGCAGGTCGCGACTTGGGTTCCAGGCACAAATGAACACCTCGCTCTCATGGCCACGCAGCACGCGTGCCTTGGACTCGGGTATCTCGATGCTCTGATCAATCTCCATGGCCTCAACGGGTGCGGGTGTGCCGCCCGTCGAGGAGGAGATGGTCCCACTGGGAGCTGAGCTCTGCGCTGTGGCTGTTCCCGCCGTTACATTGTTGGGCTGTGCACCCACTCGAATTGTGACAGCCGCAGTGGATGCCTTGGCACCCGCGGCTGTGGCTCCTCCGGCAGCAGCCGCTGTATCGGGATTGGAAGTCGAGACAGCGGCTCCGGCGGGTGCTGCGCCACTGGACGGCTGTTCGGCGCTGCTGGAGGTGTTGCTGTTGCCATTGGTGGATGTGGATGAGGCGGCGTCGTCTGTGCTCGTTGCATTTGCATTGCCCGCATTGTTCGCCGCCGACGAACTGCCGGGCTCACTGGAGTTGGCCTTTTTGTTTGCTCCGCTGGCGGCTGTGGCGGAGGAATCACCGGCCGCTGGGGCTGTGGCATTGGTGGAGCCGGCAGTGGCTGCCTGGGTTCCATTTCCGTTGCTTGCTCCGCTCCCTGCGTTATTGGCAGTGGCTGCGGCACTCCCACTGGAATCCACCTCATTGGTGGACTCTGTGGGCGTTGTGGTGCCCGTGGTGCTGCTGGATGACTTTGTGGCGCCCGCATTCGCCGTGCCGGGCTCCACCTTGATCTCAACCTTCACATTGCTGTTGGCATTTGTGGCTGCCGGCGCTGTGGAGTCAACGCCGGGTTTGCCCGGCTCCGTTTTGACCACCGGCTTGGGCGGCTTCACCTCCGGCATCACAGCATCGATCAGGGATAGCCCCTCAATGGGGCGCGCCACCTCACCATCCTCGCCCACGCTCCACTCCACCTCTGTGTAGAGCAGACCCTTCTGTAGAATGGTGAGCAGCGCAGCCGGCGGCACCAGGGCTCCATTAATATTGCTCTGCGAGATGTGTGACTCGATGCCAAACACGTACGAGGAATGCAGAAAGCCTACAACACAGAATGAAATTAGATATGACTAAACGTTGGCAGCGGTGTGCGAGGGGCCAATGGAAAATTTCCGACTCACCCGACTCCTGCAGATATCGGTAAACAAGAAAGTTTACCTCGTCGCTGGAAAAACTCATGGCTACCAGGGGGCGCACTCTTCCAGTTTTATGTTGTTTTTGAATGCACTTCAGGTCCTAGGAGCACTCGATGGACGACGACGACCGATTATTGTGGCGGTGGCGGCGACGGCAATGACGAGGGAGATAACACGGCACTGCGTAACACATGCGTCTGCATTTAGCACGCGCTCTCTGCTCCTCTCCAGCAATCGGATGGGGCCTGCTGGGTGTGCTGATGTCGCTATGTGGCTTTTAGTTGCGGTGGATCCGGCCTGTTGCTAAAATTACCAATTCACTTTGAAACGCAAGAGCATTTTACATATTTTTTTCACAAATAAAAACTGAGTATCGCAGCCCTGAAACGCGCAAAAAAATGGCGGAGTTCAGGCAAAAGGTCGTGAGTATGAGGTGGTTCGTTGCGGCTTTTTAATCGCTCCACACATGACGTCAGAAATGTAAAACCTCGAAATGGGAGATACACAATTAATTTGCTAAGTTGACTGCATGTAATAAAAAAAATATGATTTTTTCCTCACTCAATGACTTTACTTTCATTGCATTTCCAATGCATTTTCTAGAAACTCTTATAGCAAAGAATACAAATGGGAACCTGTGACGTCACAACGATTCGTATCGTGCACCTTTTCCGCAGCCCTGGCACAATTTGTTGGTATTTGCGGTATTTTGGCGTTTTGCCACACTATTCTGGACACTTGCGCCCGCTAGGAGGCTCTCCAGTCCGAGGCAGAGAGAGAAGAAAAATCAATAGAAATTTTCGTTTTAGTGAATTGCTCTGCATTTGGCAATAGTTAACAACAAAAAAGCAGCAAATATCAAAGTAAATCGGCAATCAGGTGGAGTTACATAAAGCCGAGTACTCGCGACAAACATTCCGCAGCCAACACCCAGAAAAAACGAAGCCGTGAGAGAGCCCAAGCCACAAAACGGAGCCAACTAATACAAAATTCCAGCACAACCAACGCCAGAGCCCAGAGCAGAGGCCCAGCGAAGCAGCAACCAAACCAACAATTTTTCACTGCGGGCCGCCTCTAATCGGGATCGTGTGTACTATTTAAGCATAAAAAGTAAGCAGCCAAAGCCCCATGGAAAGACACATACGCCCATTAATGTTTGTTTCGGTTTGTGCCAATAAAACGACTTCGTCATCTTGCGAAGAGAAAAAAAAGGAAAAAGTGACGTGACGTGAAAGCGAACGAGTGCACAAAGGCAGGCAACAAAGAGCCCAAAAAGTGATCATAAGCTAGAAGCCAAAAGCCGGTGGTTCGTCCGGTGGTCGCGGTTTCGGTTGCGGTCTCGGTCCCCACCAAATAAACCAAATAAATGCAAATGCAAACGCCACAGTTCGGGAGTGCAGGCAGGCGATAAAAGTGCGGTCCCCGAGGTCATCTCGTCGTTGGTGGAGCTCACTGAATCTGAATCTTTATCAGTTGTGTGTTGCTGTTGCTGCTCTGCTGTTGTGGCAGTGCCAAAGTTGCAAGAGTGCTTGCCAAGAGTGCGCGGGGGCGGCGTTGACAGCGGGCATCATTCCCCCTACCCTAACCCTCTACCCACTCGCGCGGAATGCCCTCAAATGTCAGGGTTCATTTTGCAATAAATGATTTGCAAGCAGATTCTTTTATTTTTCCCAATACCCCCCACCCACTTACTGATCAGCCCCCACCCTAATACGTGACGATTCTCTCCAACAGGTCTGACAGAGAATTTCATCGGAACGGCGGAACTACACTGAACGAAAATTGAAGCGGCTGATATTTTGTTTGCAAGCAAATAAAATACCCGACTCCGTCGTCGTCGCTTTCGTTGCTGTTGCTACTGCTGCTGCTGTTGTCGAGTTCGAGCCGATAAGAGCGTCTCGAGACTCGGCCGCCTCACAGGCAGATTTTTCTTGCGCCCCACAGTTTGCATAAAACCAGCGAAAATTAACAAGCTAACTACAATGGCGCCGGTGCGGGGGGATGGCATGAGAGGCCTGGCAGTGTTTATATCGGATATAAGAAACTGTAAGTAACAAACAAAAATATATAAAAATAAACTCTCCAGTAAATTGCTTGCATTTAAATTTAATTTATCAGTGAGCAGAGGCTGGGCAGAGCTAGCTTTTCTTATCCAAATTCATTCATAGGGGCGGAATCAGCGCCATTTCTTGATCAATTACTGAGAGGAGCAACACACACACACAGGCCTAACATATTTTTATTATGCATGAAAGTGCCGACGACGACAATTGTTGTTTGTTTGCCCCGTAACTCTGTCCGCATTATCGTCATGCTGCCCGTTACTGGTTTCCTCTCTCCACAGCATAGAGTCTCCAAGAGTCTCCACTTTTGGTGACTGGTACTAATTGTGACCACGAGTGAGAGAGAGCGAGCTAGGGCTTTTGAGAGTGAGAGTCACACACACATAAATCACTCTCCATTAATCGATCATATGTGTTCAGGCAACGGGGGAAAAAGAAAGCTTCTGCTTTTTCTGGGATTCTCCTTTTATGACCTTGACCCATTTATCATTCCTTTTCTGCAGGTAAAAGCAAAGAAGCGGAGGTCAAACGCATAAACAAGGAGTTGGCCAACATACGAAGCAAATTTAAAGGAGACAAAACTCTCGATGGCTACCAGAAGAAGAAATATGTGTGCAAGCTGCTATTCATCTTTCTACTGGGCCATGACATTGACTTTGGCCACATGGAGGCGGTCAATCTTCTGTCCTCCAACAAATACTCAGAGAAGCAGATCGTAAGTGGTTAAACAGAGGATCACCAGAAGACATTTAATAATCATGTGTGTCTTTCAGGGATATCTATTCATTTCGGTGCTGGTGAACACAAACAGCGATTTGATCCGCCTCATCATTCAGTCGATCAAGAATGATTTGCAGTCGCGGAATCCGGTGCATGTGAACCTGGCGCTACAGTGCATCGCCAACATTGGCAGCAGGGACATGGCCGAATCCTTTTCGAATGAAATACCCAAGCTGCTCGTTTCCGGCGACACCATGGATGTGGTGAAGCAATCGGCTGCGCTGTGCCTGCTGCGGCTGTTCCGATCCTCGCCCGATATTATACCCGGCGGCGAGTGGACCTCGCGCATCATTCACTTGCTGAATGACCAGCATATGGGCGTGGTGACGGCTGCCACATCGCTGATTGATGCTTTGGTCAAGCGCAATCCGGATGAGTACAAGGGCTGCGTGAATTTGGCCGTGTCGCGGCTCTCGAGGATCGTGACTGCCAGCTACACAGATTTGCAGGATTACACGTACTACTTTGTGCCGGCACCGTGGCTGTCCGTGAAGCTGCTGCGGCTGCTGCAGAACTACAATCCGGTGACCGAGGAGGCGGGCGTTAGGGCACGCCTGAATGAGACACTCGAGACGATCCTCAATAAGGCGCAGGAACCGCCGAAGAGCAAGAAGGTGCAGCATTCAAATGCCAAGAATGCCGTCCTCTTCGAGGCCATCAATCTGATCATTCACAGTGACAGCGAGCCCAATCTGTTGGTGCGTGCGTGCAACCAGTTGGGCCAGTTCCTCAGCAATCGGGAGACAAACTTGCGCTACCTGGCCCTCGAGTCCATGTGCCATTTGGCCACCTCAGAGTTCTCCCACGAGGAGGTCAAGAAGCACCAGGAGGTGGTCATACTCTCCATGAAGATGGAGAAGGATGTCTCCGTGCGCCAGATGGCCGTCGATCTGCTGTATGCCATGTGCGATCGCGGCAATGCCGAGGAGATTGTCCAGGAGATGCTCAACTATCTGGAGACGGCTGACTACTCCATACGCGAGGAGATGGTGCTCAAGGTGGCCATTCTCGCTGAGAAATACGCCACGGATTATACCTGGTAAGACCCAGACACGAAACTCTTTTGTGGAAAATCTTTCCTAACTCTTTTCATTCTCTCACTCGCAGGTACGTGGATGTAATCCTCAATCTCATACGCATTGCTGGCGACTATGTGTCGGAGGAGGTCTGGTATCGCGTCATTCAGATCGTCATCAATCGCGAGGAAGTGCAGGGCTATGCAGCCAAGACCGTGTTCGAGGCCCTGCAGGCTCCCGCTTGTCACGAGAATATGGTCAAGGTGGGCGGCTACATACTCGGGGAGTTTGGCAACCTGATCGCCGGGGACTCGCGCTCGGCACCGCTGGTGCAGTTTAAGTTGCTGCACTCCAAGTACCATCTGTGCTCGCCCATGACGCGTGCTCTGCTGCTGTCCACCTACATCAAGTTCATCAATCTGTTCCCGGAAATACGCACCAACATTCAGGATGTGTTCAGGCAACACAGCAATCTACGTTCGGCTGACGCGGAGCTGCAGCAGCGTGCCAGCGAGTATCTGCAGCTGAGCATTGTCGCCTCCACGGATGTGCTGGCCACCGTGCTGGAGGAAATGCCATCGTTCCCAGAGCGCGAGAGTTCCATTCTGGCCGTGCTCAAGAAGAAGAAGCCAGGTCGGGTGCCAGAGAACGAGATTCGGGAGTCAAAGAGCCCCGCTCCAACCTCGGGTGCGGTGATCCAGAACAACGTGCACGTGAACAACTCGCACAGCAAACTGAACAACAGCAATGCCAACACGGACCTGCTCGGGCTGAGCACGCCGCCGGCCAACAATGTGGGAAGCAACAGCACCCTCATCGATGTCCTAGGCGACATATACGGCAGCAACAACAACTCCAGTGCCGTCTACAACACCAAGAAGTTCTTGTTCAAAAACAATGGCGTGCTCTTCGAGAACGAAATGCTGCAGATTGGCGTCAAGAGTGAATTCAGACAGAATCTGGGACGGTTAGGGCTCTTCTATGGCAACAAGACACAGGTCCCGCTCACGGTAAGCGTCTCATTGCTCTTCCTCTGCAGTTTTAACATGCATTTTCGTTTAGAACTTCAATCCCGTTCTGCAATGGTCTGCGGAGGAGACGCTCAAGCTGAATGTACAGATGAAGGCTGTGGAGCCGACCCTGGAGGCCGGTGCACAAATCCAACAGCTGCTCACAGCCGAGTGCATTGAGGACTATGCCGATGCGCCAACCATTGAGATCAGTTTCCGCTACAATGGCACACAGCAAAAGTTCAGCATCAAGCTGCCGCTGAGCGTGAATAAGTTCTTCGAGCCAACCGAAATGAATGCCGAATCCTTCTTCGCACGATGGAAGAATCTAAGCGGGTAAGTGCCAGAGCTGCACATCTGAAACTGATTGCTAAATCAATGCTTCTATTATAGAGAACAACAACGATCACAGAAAGTGTTCAAGGCTGCACAGCCGTTGGATTTGCCTGGGGCAAGGAATAAGCTGATGGGCTTTGGCATGCAGCTGCTCGATTCTGTGGATCCCAATCCGGATA